TTCTCGAAAATGACCAATAATGATCAATGTGAATTATAAAATTCTATATTATTGTCGATTTGCTTAACTTTCTAAGACTTGTTTTCTTCAATTGATTATGATGATAATTTCTCAAGTTAAACTATGGAACCTTTACTAAGACAAAAGTATGACAATTGAAATTTATTTTAATCAAACTTTGAATAATGTTAATCGTAATATAAACGATATTTAAGTTCGTTATCATCAAATTAATAAACTATTTTTAGCCAGGAATCAAGAAATATCAATATATTACCTAAAGTGAGTGTACCGATGGATTTTGGAAGGCACCTGATAGGATCCCCGACTCACAGCAACCTAAAACTAAACACAAGTGAGGGAGGTGAGGTACGAGCCAGTTCAGTGATCCTATCCTTCAACAGCCCCGTCATTGATCACATGACAACCACCCTTCACATGACCAGTGTGGACATGTTGGAGTTCAGTAAACCTGCTGTTCAGCTGCTTGTTGATGCAGCTTACTCTGGAACTGCAGAGGGGATAACCAGAGAACTGTTCAGGGACATCAACAAGATGGCCAATGTGTTTGAAATGTCTTGGTTAGCTGAAAAGTGTGCTGAATATTTCACTGAAGTAGCTGACTCGGTTAAAACACCGTCTTATACCGAACTACTTTATCTATTTGAAGAAGCAGGTTTTGTTTATGAGAAGCTGAAGATAAAAGATTATCTAGATCTTACCATCAAGATGATTGAGATAATGAAGTGGAAACAGGAGTTTATAGACAGGTATCTTGAGAATGCAGACAGATTATCTACACAGAAACTAGACATGGTGATAGAGCTAGCAGGTTCTGAAGTTAACTGTGTTGTACAAACTCTAACTAATCAGTTATCAGAACAGTTTAAAGTTCAAGGTTCCAGTCTTTCTGTTTCTTGTGAGTATCTTCTGGGAAACTCTAATCTTTTTCTCTGTAAAAATTCTGATGAAGTTTTGTTTGACCGTTTATTTGATGTTCTTGGTGAACTTCCAGATGAGAGAATAAGATGGACTTTTGAGCTTCTTCGCAAATATTCCAAACAGAGAACTGAGTTGGCTCATAGTTCTGATGAATTAAGTGGATCCAGCTCAACAACAGTATCTAGATGTAACATTATACCCAACTTGTACCATGATATGGATATGAACATGTCATTTAATCAGTTGTTGGACTGGCTGTCTGTGTCTGAGGATGTTACCAGTTTTTTGATGGCTTTAGAAGCTGTATGCACATGGAACTGGTACAATTATTACAATGATCAGAGTGATTACAATGATTATAGTTATTGTGTTGACGTTGCTGTGTTGCCAGCTAGACTAACAGACCTAGTAGAAAGGAGAGGCTGGTCTCTTTTACCGGTCGAATTCATTGACTATCATTTAGGTGTAATGAATAACAAAGACCATTATGTGGACTATAACTTGGAACAATTCTGCACAGCTAATAAACAAGATACCTCACACGTCACCATTATTCCCTGTATTGACCCGTGTGATATTTATAACCCACTAAGTTCAATACTCTCAAAAGACTACAAGCTGATCTTTCACTTCAAACACCCGTCAGTAACAATGTGTAGTTTACCTGGTGATTGTGGGTTTATTCTAAAAACAGTCCCCAGTGAAGCTACATTGTGGACATTGATACTGTGTACTGATAAAGAAGATTACCTGGGTGAAACAGTGCACTTTCATGATGAGATTAGAGCAGAGAAAATGCATGTTTTTATGAGTGACTATGAAGATAACCAAGTATTACCACTAACTTGGTTTGGTTGGCTTCATGTTAAAGATTTTTTTTTTTTTTTTTTTTTTTTAGAGAGGCTGGGCCTGGTTGGCCCACGAGAGGATAGCATATGAATGCTTTGCCTACCTCTGGGGTATGGCAGTCCTGTGGGAGGATGCCAGTGGAATCAAGATGTGTAATCAAGGATGATGGTAAGTGTTGTGGGGTGTGTCATAGACAAACGCTTAAGTGGTGGTTGAGTGTGGAAGAGAGAGGCGAAATAAGACGGCGTTAAAGTAGTCGCTATGTTACACCTGTCTGGTCCAACTCCTCTGGCACCACTAAGCGTTTAGTGTGGTTTGTAAAGTTGACAATGGTGGAGATGTGTTGGTTGTCGAATATGTCATTGACAGAGAGGTAGTAGTCCCGGAAATATTGACCTCTTATTTGGGCAATAGCCGGGCACTGTCCGAGAAAGTGTGAGACAGTCTCCTCTTCGTCGCCGCATTTAGGACAAGCACTTGTGTCTGATTTGCGAATGGTGTGTAGGTGTTTGTTGAGGCCACAATGTCCCGTGATGAGGTGCACTGCAGTTCTATAATTTTGTCTGTTGTTACTGAGTGTAGTGTTGAGATTTTTGATGATGTTGATGTTTTTATGTCCAAGTGTCAGTTTAGTGTGTCTGGGACCATCAGTAATCCATGATTCTTGATTAAGTTTTGTGACTTTGTCGTTGATCAGGCGTTTGATGTAAGATTGTGGAATTGGGCAATTCAAAGTGGATTCACTGGTTGTACCATTTTTGGCCAGCTCGTCTGCTTTTTCATTACCCCACAATCCAATGTGTGCAGCTATCCATCTGATCTCTAAGGTGTTAGTGGATCCGAGTGTATTGAGGGTGTCGTAACAGTCTCTAGTAGTCCTACTCCTCGTTGAAGGTGAGGATATGGCTTGAATAGAGGAGAGACTGTCTGACCATATGATGATGTGTGTGTTTGTATAAGTTGATAGATATTTACAAGCTTCGATGATGGCAGTGAGTTCTGTTTGATAAACGGTGCAATAATCGGGAAGCTTGAATGATCTTTCATCTAGTGTAGTGTTGTTGTTGTCTGTGGTGATAATATAACCAGCCCCGCTACCTGAGTCTGTGCGTGACCCGTCTGTGTAGCAGGTGATGGTTTCACTGGGGATGTTGTCGATGGTGTTTTGGAGTGAGCCTCTATAACCAATGTTGTCAGCTCCAGGAGTGGTGACCGTGAAGCGTCGTTCAAGCATCATGGTTGGTATAGATAGGTCTCTCTCTGCTTTGGGTGGTATGTTGAGATCTACCATGAATTGTTTGTTGATAGTGGTGTGAGTTGTGATGGTACCTTTTCTGGGGGCGATAGTTTCGAGGGTTAGGCTTCCATAAGCTTGAAGCCTGGCTGTGCCCTTTGCTGCTTCACCTCTCAGGAAAAGTATGATATCTGGAGTGTTAGTGAGGTGGTTCAGTGCGATGAAGGGAGTACTAGGCATGGCACCAGACATCATTCTCAATGCCAATGCCTGAACTCGTTTGAACTTCCTCGCGTTGGTGTCTGTTTGGGTTGCTCTAATCCATATACTACAGCAGTATGATAGAATAGGTCTGATGACAGCGGTGTACATCCATTTGCATGTTTTAGGGCTCATACCCCAAGTGGGGCCGACAGCTCTTCTACATTGCATAAGGGATGCCGTAGCTTTTTTGGTGGTATTGGTGATATGTTCATTGAAATTGAGCTTGCTGTCGAGGGTCACTCCTAGGAATTTGGCAGATTTGGATAGACCTATGGTGGTGTTACCCACCACCACAGGTCTTAGTGTCCATTTCTTATTCCAGGTAAACATGACTATTTGTGTTTTGAGTGCGCTTATGGATAGATCTTTGGTTTGGCACCATTTTTCTATTGTGTTGATGGTTTTGCGTGTTCTGTTCCAGATGATGTCTAAATCATTCCCCTCCGCTAGAGAGAGCAGATCGTCTGCAAAAGCTTGCAGATAACCTGGTATGTCTCTTGCGGTGTAGGCCAGGAGATCATCGACTACCAGGTTCCAGAGGAAAGGGGAAAGGATGCCACCTTGAGGGCACCCTCTCCGGATCCGAACCCTTGTCGACTTATCCTTATGATTTAATGTGATGAATCTGTTAGTTACCATGTTGATAATCCATTGTGCTGTGGCCAGCTTCATGTTAAAGATGCTCAGCAAGAAAAAGACAGCTGGGAGGAAAACAATTATGATGAATATTACAACATACAAGTTATGTATAGTAAGTGATAGTTAATGATATTGATCTAGTTGTTTGATAGAAGACAAGATAAGTTTTGTTCTAGAAAACTAGAAGTGTACTTGTTTACCAAGTTGAGGATCCTCCTGTAACAAAGAGGACTGTATACCAGCTGCAGAATGAATATTCTGTTCCTGATCTCATGATAACTTATTTTTATAATCTTCTTGTTATGATAATGTTTGTAAGCTCTACCAGTACACCACTACATTACTCCTTCCCATCTCACTAAGATCAGATATTTAAAAACCAGCTATTTTGTAGACTTGGTAAGGGGTAAGGTGGAATTGTGTGTGATTGAGATAATTATTAATTAACTAATTATTAGCAAGGAATATATTATATTAGCATGTAATGACTCCTTGGTAAGTGGTTTATTAGTTAACATGGTCTGAGGAAGATAATCTAGAATATTGATATGAGATTTTTCTGATTTAGTAGACTGCATGTTAGCATGGGAGTAAATTTTAAATTTTTAATATGTTTTAAATTGGATTGATTTTTGTCTCTAAAAAAGTTATCTTTATTTTACTGATGATTACTTTTTTGTTTTCAAAGATTGAACGTTTTCTTATGACTTTTATTTTGAATTTCTTCTCTCTATCGACCTATTTCTCGAAAATGACCAATAATGATCAATGTGAATTATAAAATTCTATATTATTGTCGATTTGCTTAACTTTCTAAGACTTGTTTTCTTCAATCGATTATGATGATAATTTCTCAAGTTAAACTATGGAACCTTTACTTAGACAAAAGTATGACAATTGAAATTTATTTTAATCAACCCTAATCAAACTTTGAATAATGTTAATCGTAAAATAAACGATATTTAAGTTCGTCATCATCAAATTAATAAACTATCTTTAGCCAGGAATCAAGAAATATCATTATGTTACCTAAAAGATATTTTCATCAATTGTTAAAACTTATTTTTACACCAGTTTAGGAAAAGACATTTATCAGGGTGCGGTTCCTCTAAAAGACTCCTTCTTTTGTTGCTGAATTGTTGTTGCTGACCACTTCTCTGCCCACGTGTTAATCAGGACAAGATAGCATATTGACGTAAGTACCTCATTGTTAGCGTCAACTTATTGTCACCTCTAATGACTTCAGGGACTGAGTATATCGTTACCTTTGTTCTAATTGTATGAATGGAATACAGACTGTGTCCCCCAACTGTACAGGCACATTTACATTTTACAGCTGTTCACTGCTCAGTTGACCGCTTGTGTTGGTAGCAGGTACAGCATGTGGCCTTGTATGCATGAGTTTGTATCCATAGAATTGTGAAATTACGTGGAACAGAATTATATATGTAAAGACCACAAAATATTATATACGATATTGTAATTGTTACATTTAAATTGTGGCTGCTGTTCGAGCTGCCTAAACGCAAAGTCATTACCCTATAGCTCATAACAGCGTAGAGGCCTTTAGCTATGTTTCGTGCTTCGTTTAGTGGTATTTGTTGTTTAATAGTCAACAACAAAGCTTTGTTAGCAACCTTCCTTTTGTTGGTTATTAATCAAATGAGCGGTCGTGAGCGGTTATGGGTGGTTACAAATACCTAATTTCATTTTGATATGCTTGTTATATACCGTTACATTATTGTTTCGTACAAGGTATTCTCTTGTGGCTCACTTTACAAACAAGCTTAGCAGTGCTACATGGAGATGTAGCTTATATATCTGCTTATCTGTTTCTTTCCTCCAAAACTATGTAAACAGAGATTAGGGAACTGAAGGCTAATAAGTGAATATAATATAATCTCAGTTTTCTACTGAACGGATCTTACTCTTGAAGACTAATGAGCACCTCAATATAACTGTTTAACTAGTCATGCAGACAACTAACCTGTTAATAGTTATAATATTAAGATTTATAATAATATGCTCTATTCGTGTTCCCAACCGTGACTGGCTCTGTCTAGTAGCTCAGTTTAATACTTTTAACTCCTCTTCTTGTCTTATTGTTTTAATTCTATACTTTATCTGAATTTGTTAATTATGCAAATTGACCTGGTCCTGCAATGATTAGCCACATATTATGTACTTACTACTACAACTTCATTGAGGCCGCGCTGTTAAAATAACTAGAGTTTCCAAACAGTGCCACTACACACAAACACTGCCACCTACCCTGAAGTTGCCTATCAATAAGCTAACGAGCTGCTTTCTCCAATATCATTAATACAATTCCACCCAGAAGTTTGATCCTGCACGGTCAGAAAACTTTCCACCTATTAACGTTAACTGTAACTTGATCTGATCAGGTCACCCTCTCATGCCGCTAGAACAGCACCTGGTCCTGCGTAATAGGTCACCACTCTGACCATTCCTCCACACTCCCATTAGTTTTGTAGTTTCCTTGACTATAAACGTGAACGATATCTTCTCTGACGTTTTATTTGTTTGATCTTTATCTGTCTGCCGATTTATGCTATTCTAAAGAAGCAAGCTGTAATTACAGCCGGTTTTGCGGGATCGTTGGATATGCTATGTTATTAAATGGTTTATGTTGTTGATATTTTACTTATATTTGTGTTGTTGTTTACTACGCGTTTTCTAGTCCACTAATAAGTAATGAACATTAAACATTGCTGTTCTGATTTCCTTTTCGTAGGCAAAGTTTGTGGATTGGTTTTCCTGTTAATATGGGCTCGTTAAATGTTAAATGTTATCAAGAAAGTTGATTACAATGTGTTGTAACTTGTAATAAAAGAGCAGCTCTGTTTAATACATTAGGCTTTGTCTAGTCCACTGATCGATGCGCAATGAACATTGATGTTCTGATTTTCTTTTCGTAGGCAACGTTTGTGGATAGGTTTTCCTGTAATCTGTTAATATGGGCTCGTTAAATGTTATCATGCAAGTTGTTTACGATGTGTTGTAACTTGTAATAAAAGAGCAGCTCTGTTTACTAAGTTACTACATTAGGCTTTGTCTAGTCCACTGACCAATGAGCAATGAACATTGATGTTCTGATTTCCTTATAGAGGAGGATCGCTTTACCGGTATATTTAGATTGAAGGCTATCCTAGTCAACAAGTTAATAATGTGGTAACTTCTCTACCTGATATTTAAGTTAACAATGTTAACCTCCTCTAGACCTAGTATACACAACGTTAACAATGTTAACCTCTATCTAGCAGGCTTTACTTTAGGTATTAATATTATACTAATTACACTAATTACAATAATTACACTAATTACACTAATTACACTAATTACACTAATTACACTAATCATACTAATTACACTAATTACACTAATTACACTAATTACACTAATTACAATAATTATACTAATCACATTAATTAAAATAATTACAATAATTACACTAATTACACTAATTACACTAATCATACTAATTACACTAATTACACTAATTACACTAATTACAATAATTACAATAATTACACTAATTACAATAATTACACTAATTACACTAATTACACTAATTACACTAATTACACTAATTACACTAATTACACTAATTACACTAATTACACTAATTATACCAATTACACTAATTACACTAATTACACTAATTACACTAATTACACCCCCTGTTAGGTATTCAAGTGAGAAGAGGGGTTCTAACGGGGTAACATATCGGGGAGAAGCGTACAACTTTAATGAAGTAGAGCGTCTGATGAACGTTGAGGATGATGCGCCCTCGGTAGCCGTATCACCGAACAAACATGAAGTGGAGAAACGTAAGTTGATTTGTAACAATGTTTCTAAGTTAGTTTGTTATTCGTTAGTAAATGTGTTATATTTAATTATACTAGTTGTAAGTTTTACACTGTTTCTAAGTTAGTTTGTGAGGCCATCACACCTTAAAATAGTTCAACTATCCGATGAGGCTGTAAAACTGTTACTTTGTCAGCAATTTATTACACCACAACAACAATCCCTTGTCGTTGTCTCGCCGCCGTCTCTATAGTTACTATCGCCGTCTCTATAGTTACTATCGCCGTCTCTATAGTTACTATCGCCGTCTCTATAGTTACTATCACCGTCTCTATAGTTACTATCGCCGTCTCTATAGTTACTATCGCTGTCCCTATAGTTACGCCACCACAGAAAGGTTCGCTGGTACGCAACCTCTCAGTGCTGTGTAAAAGCTGGGAACTTGTAACTTTATACCGATAAGTATTTAAACCTGATTACGTTATATTTAAGAGCCCCATACCTCTCACGTTACGCTTCTTTTCACTGTCCCTTTCGTAGTGTTTACCATGCTTCCTTCTCTCATTCAAATGTATATTTAAATTGAGAGAAACGTCACTCTTCAATTAATTTATACGTACCGTTTTGAAGTCGGATTCGGTTCATGAGTCGCAGTGACCTGTAAATCGTTTTCGTATATAATTATCTAATTTTTTCGTCGCAACTTCCGCCATTCGTGCCGAGTTCATGTTTTCCCCTTGCAGTATGTTTAGATATGACGAACATTTATTAAATGCTGGTTAACAGTTGAACAAGTGACAAGGCTATTTAGTAGAGGAAGGAATCGTCATTATTGTAAACGTTACTCGTTCAACTGTTGAGACTTAAGAGTCTAAGACTGAAGCTACTTAACGATACACTAATGCGGTGATTGGGTGTACCCCGTAGAGTCCGGACCCGTGTACCCCATATTCTAGCACCTAATCGTCCGGGCGGTCATTTACTCTGGGCCACCCTGTATATTCTGATCTCGATCAGAATGTGGCAAATTTACTTCCTTAACAATAACAACATCAACAACAACAAAGATATAATGAATATTCATCACCTTAATAACACCAGAATGTGTGTGTGTGTGTGTGTCTGTCTGTCTGTCTGTCCGTGTGTAATTTCCGGTCGGTTATACAAAAAAAACGGTAAGAGTTACGGGACTGATTTTTTCGGTATAGTGTCGACAAAACTCTGATGAAGCCCATAGGAATTTTTTTTTTAAATCGGCCGATGGTAAGTGGTTTAATTGATGGTTTTGTACCACAAATGTTACATAAAATTGCGTGAGCAGAACGGCAAGAGTTACGGGGCTTGCTCTCTCTCTCTAATTACTGTGTAATATGTTATAGCTGCATTTAAGTAGCGTCATAATTGGATTATCCCGGAAGATTCGCTGTAATGTTATACCTTAAGCTTATTAGGGGAGGGGGGACTGTTAGTGTTTGGGGTCTGTTTGGACTGCAGAGAGAGAGAGAGAGAGAGAGTTCATACGACAATGTTATGCGTGTTTTCAAATATAATATGCGGGTGTGGTGCGGAGTTAACAAGGGTTAATTTCTATAACGATTTAAATAAAAATAGAAAGCGGTTCAAGACGGGAGTGATGAGGTGTAATACTCGGTGTTCAGACCTTATGATCATGGAGTGTGGTGCCTCATGGCTAATAATGACTTAATTATCCACAAGAAATAACTGATTATGAGATTATTGTTTAAGAAACTATTGGGTCACCTAATGCGGGTTTTGACTCAGCGGGTAATTACTCCTACCCTTTTTAACTGCGGCAGTGAAATCCCGGCCGTAGGCCGGGTTACACTAGTCATATTATAAACCCCTCCGGGTTAGAATAAGATTCTGATAATCCCGGCTCCCGCTAGATAGATTCTGATAATCCCGGCTCCCGCTGTTAGTTTTTTCCCGCTGAATAAATAACCCCGGCACAGCTTCTATAATCCCGCCCCGCTAATTTGGCTCTACAAGATTTGTTTTGTTTTGATATTCCATGAGAATTTCAACCGCGCACTGTCACGTGTTTTGATGACGTGTATCACGTGACTAACTACGTAAGAACTATAAATACACTTGATCTACGTATCGGTCTTACTGCAGGCGCTGGCAAAACTCCAGCACACTGCGTACATTACTTAAACTCTTACATTACTTGGACCAGTTCCAGAACTTGTCTCGACGGTTACATTTGTCCGGTTAATTTTGTCGTAGCAATTGCCCTGTTTAATATAAGCCATGTATTATAGTCGTCTACTTTGATGAACTTCATAACACGATATCATTATTAGCTCCACCTTTTATCGCTTGCCAGGCTTAACTCGACGCCCCTTATCGATATTCATTCAACGTTCTGACTGAGGAATAATGTTTAGATATAACGCCAATTTCAAATGTCATAGTACCTTAGTTGTATTTATTTGGTAGTATAATATACTCCCCAATTCCATTTCATATTTTCCATACTGATCTCATATAGCTAGAATTATGAAATTTGTTGGTCCTAGCACTAACCCGGAGGGGTTTATAACACATAACACCGGCACGCTTAAGTTATATTAAAATAATAATCCCTCGTGCTTCGCACTCGAAATTATTATAAATTTTTCCCGCGCGTGGCGGGAAAAATTGAAATATAATCCCTGCGCATGCGGGGTTATGTGTGTTATATCCCATGCAGCCAGTAAGCCAGCCTTCAACTTTATGTTTAGATAATATATCATAATATCATAATATACCTAATAATATAATATAGTAATATCATTATATATCATAATATCATGTAATTACAGGCATGTATTGGCACACTTGCTATTCTGTCACATACATCCACTTTTCACATGAGTACAACAACGAGCCGTCCTTTTGTTATCTTTTCTGTAATGTTTACCTTGTGCCGTTCACTCAAACCTGCTAACTGGTTATGTATACAAACCGCCTGCCTTATCATTTCATGTTAACTCTATAGTGCGTGATCAGCTGTTCTGTGCGTTATACTCAATGTATTATATACACTGTACAGTACATTATGTACACTGTACAGTACATGCTTGTTTCCCATTATCAGTGCAGTACATGCTTGTTTTCCATTATCAGCTTGCAGAATGTTAGAATAGACAGCACTGTTAAATTGATCGCTACTGCTCTGCAATTGCTTGATCAGAATTCATAGTGGTCGAGCTTTTATTTTGATATCCGTAGAATTAGGGTAAACTGCGATCAATAAACTGTAGTTTCATTTTGTTGCAGTATTTCTTATAGCAGTATTTCTTGTTGCTTCTGTTGGCAGCAAACAGTTGTTGCAACATTTCACAATAGGCTATAACTATACAGTATACAGACATACAAAGAGGGGGGGGGGGGGGGGGTACAAAGAATGGTGCCAACTTTAACAAACAAGAACAACACTTCTCTCTCTACACTATGCTCGTTGACAAAGCTCTAAAAAGGCAGCGGTGAACAAGGGACCACGAATAAATAGTAGAATCTGTATTCTTCAAAGGTTGCATTTTGTACACGTGAAAGCGTTCCCTACTGTTAGCTTAATATAGAGTGAGTTAACCTCTTTAAGTCGGTGTTTATTTTTGGAAACATTTTGTGTGATATAAGGGCATTCCACAGTTTTGGGCCTAAAGATGTAATAACCCTAATAAAAATTCATCATTTTCTATGCGGTCAGTAAAAGAATAAACTATTGTTTAACTTAATGTTTAGATACAGGGTGTTTCAAGACTCGTGTCCAAATTTCGAAAGGCCCTTAAAATCCAACAAATAGGTCAAACAGTTCGATTTTTGTTTTAAATTATAGATAAATTATTACATTTCAAAATATATATCAAAATTAACCCAAATATTTCATCAACTTTCCGAACCAAGCCCCCTTCCGGCAATCATATTTCTATTGCACGTTTTACCATGTCAAGTTTTAACTTTTTAGCCTCCCTTCTGATGCTGTTTTTCGGCTGTTCTACTTTTTTTGGGACTTGAACTGAATAAACACGATCTATAAGATAACCCCAAAAAATTTCAAAAGATTGCAAAATTATGAAAAAATGGCTTTTGACACAATTTTGCAAGAAATAACTAAAATGTTAGACCTAACAAGCATTCCCAAACCGATTTCATTTAATTTGCTCCTTCATAAAGTAGAAAAATTTTAATTTAAAATTTGGACACGAGTCTTGAAACACCCTGTATATTATCATATTAAGTAATTTCGTCATGAAAACTTACTATTAGTAAACCCTCTCTCAGTCTTTATGGCGTTTATTTTTGGCAACATTTTGTGAGACGTAACGCGATTTTATCAGATTTAAAAAAAAACTTTTCAAACTTTACAGACTACAGCAATAAATGAATATAAAATAGAATCGTTCAAAATGTTGCCCCACTCTGTGAAATAAGTTGAGCACCTAAACACGATAAACACATAGTACTTGGACCCAATACATCAAATTAATCTAAATCCAAAAGTTTATGAAAAACTATTTAAGAGCAAACAAATCAATAGTGAATAACTGTGGATAATGGTAATATAGATAAAATTGGTATTTCAATACGTCAAATCTTAGATACATTAGATGCAAGTCTACATACAAAAGAAGAGATCCATCAAGATTCAAGCTCTTGTTGCCATATAAGGAGCTGTCTTTAACAAGCTATTTAATCAGCTAAACTGAAGTCTCAGTTCACAGTTACTTGATATATATACAGCTTACTGAGTTATCAAACCTGGAGCAGGCTATTGAAGAAGTGCGAAATCGTTAGTTCCAGTCAATTGTTGGATTGAAGGAGACTTTGTGCTTTGTTTTGTTTTAATTTGATTGCCAAGAAAGGGGTGGTGTGCCTAGTGAGAAGGTTATTAATTGATTTCCCAGAATAAATTTATTGTTTGTTAGATAACTTTGATTTTGGTTGGAAAGTCGACTCAACACGTCATAGGTATTACATTATTATATTATAGGTATTATATCCTTGAAATGGCTTTAATTTGTAAAGAAAGATCATATTGGACCCACACGACGATTCACCATGTCCATATTAGATTATTAAATATGTACATTAAATATTATAAAACTTGTCTGTGCATGATGATTATAGATAATATGCTACCGGTCCCGTCCAAATATAGTCGACTTTTCGAAACTGAGTTTTCATTTTTCGACTGACATATTATTATTATGCAGTCGAAAATACAATATAAAAGGGTCAAACAGTATATATATACATTCAATTAAATGAAGTGATGCAATTGGCAGAGCACAATCAAATTTTAAGTGTTGCAATTGGCAGAGCACAATTCATTGCTACCAATAATTTTTTCAAAAACATTTTAACAAAACACATGATCTACTCCATTATAGGGGCAGGGATGAGGTTGTATGAAACTTCTGATAGCTGAATCTCACGTTTGGTGTCCACCTTCTTTCCTCGGTACCCTCGTAGAGCAATAAGAGTTGTTCTCAACATTGCAAATCTTATCCTAGTTCTCGCGTGTCTTACTACATCGCAGTACCTTTCCTTCCTTTTTCTTGCAATGAGGTCTGCTACTCTGTTGACGAACTGCTTACACTCTTTAGACATTCCTCCAGATGTGAGGAATACAGCCGGGGTGAAGGTAGCCTTCTCCACATTCAACACTCTCTCCAAGTACTCGTCCTTCTTCTCCTTCTCGTTCTCTTCGTATACTTCTTGAAGAGTTTTTGTCCTGTTTGATAAGCAATTGGGGTGTGAAACCCTTAAATGTCAAGAAAGGTCTTATCAAATGGAGTCCAAACTCCTCTAGCAGATACATCAAGCCGAGCTTGGTCACCTGTTATAGTGTAATAAATCTCAGAAACCAGGATATAATGTTAAAAAGGGTGATAGGTACTCTGGAGGTGTGCTAATCATTTCGACAGAACCGTTAGCATTCCTGTGAGCTTAGAACTCTTTTTCCGAGGTTCAACTTTCAAGTCATATTCAAATTTCCGTTAATTTTGTTACTAAACCATTAGCTGGTTACTAGGTTACTAACTAGTTACTAGGTTACTAGGTTACTAACTAGTAACCTCCGTTCTTTGATGTCAACTTCGCGGGTATCTCCAGAAAGTACGTTATGTTTTACCGTATTCAAATCTTTAAATTGTTTTCAATTACGAAGTTATCACTGTATGAAACAACTTGATTTCTTCGCTATAAAGTGCTGATAAAATCATAACTCTCTCGTACTTTCGCATATTCTCATATATTCTCATATATTCCCACATATTAATTGTGGGTGGCGTCGTCTGCTTACAGTGCTCAATCGGCAAGCCGAGAGCTAGATGTTTGTATCATGACTCAACCGGTTGTTTCATTTTGTTCCCACATATTATATTATCATCTCTGTACGTACCAATCTTCCCAGCCCTGTTATGTAAAAGCATGTCCAGTGCTAATGGGGCCAACCAGCACCAGGACAACGAGTATGAGACTGTCAACGGTGAGTCTACTGTCACGTGGTAACTGTGATGTCACGTGGTATCTGTGATGTCACGTGGTATCTGTGATGTCACGTGGTAACTGTGATGTCACGTGGTATCTGTGATGTCACGTGGTATCTGTGATGTCACGTGGTATCTGTGATGTCACGTGGTATCTGTGATGTCACGTGGTATCTGTGATGTCACGTGGTATCTGTGATGTCACGTGGTATCTGTGATGTCACGTGGTATCTGTGATGTCACGTGGTATCTGTGATGTCACGTGGTAACTGTGATGTCACGTGGTATCTGTGTTATGTGATTATATAAAGTATTAGTCGTTAAATACTGATTGGCGGTTATCTTTGTTGTAAAATTATACTGATTACTAATCAGTGATTAGTAATAATGTTGATCGGCAATAATGCTTATCAACAATTATTCTGATAAGTAATTATTCCGATTCGTGATGCATAATTAAATGTCTATTATAATGTGGATATAATTAAGTGTGTGTAATATACATATATATGTGATATATAATATGTGATTAAATGTTTTAATGTTATGAGTCATGTTTTATGAGTAATGTGTTATCTGTTCCGGGTTTGGGTGCGGTCATTAAAATGTCTTGTCTCGTTCCTTTCTTCATATCAGATCATTATTCGGACGTTTTGATTTGGCATGTAATTAATTTCATGGTCTGCGTTTTGTGGTATGGAGTGTGCTGTAAATCGTTTGTCTTTTATTATTGTTCAAATTCGGTCATAAACTGTAAAACTTCTAAATTTCTAATTATGGCAGCCGGCGATGTACGTAGAATATCTATATATAGGAATACAAGCTGTTTTGATTTAAAGGAGAAATCTTCATGCCGCTCAATACATGCCGCTCATTACATGCCGCTCATTACATGCCGCGCAGCACATGCCGCGCATTACATGCCGCACATTACATGCCGCACATTACATGCCGCACATTGCATGCCGCTCATGACATGCCGCTCAATACATGCCGCTCAATACATGCCGCTCATTACATGCTGCTCAATACATGCCGCACAATACATGCCGCTCATGACATGCCGCTCAATACATGCCGCTCAATACATGCCGCTCATTACATGCTGCTCAATACATGCCGCACATTACATGCCGCAAGACATAAATATCTTGAAGTTAATCTGCGTATAAAAACAAATAATTAGATTTTTGCTCATTTGGTATCCTCCGAGCGCACTTACAAGTTGCAGTACCTCATATTTTAGTTAAATTGTACGCAGTATTTAAGGAATATATTCGTTATCACTGCTTTGTTATGCTAGTCTAGTTTAGTGCATATAATATAATATTTATAATTATATGCTTTAATGAATGCACAAAAAGTGACTTTTTTATAATTTCATGCTGATCAATAAGGGACAGTTCCCCTCCTTGTGTACTAGTAACTGGGTTACTTAGTAACCCCTGGTTACTTAGTAACCCTGTCAAGTTGACAGTGTAAAGAGGACACCGCGGTTACAGGAATATTACTGCTGAAGATGATCTACACATGATGTATTTTGAAAGCTCCTGCTAAACAAACTTTTCGTATCTATGTTTTAAACAATCCCCCTCCACTCTCCAGGTATATTACTGCTGCAAACTACGCTGGATAGACCCATGAGGCTTGAGGCTTTTTATCCGTGTACTTCTGCAGCGTTATAACTAATAATTAGATCTCGTTTGACAGCCTTTAACCGGAAACTAGTGCACACATGGGCAGCAGCTTCATAAGTTCTAGAGAGCATTACCCTCAATTTAAAAGAAAAAAGGGCGTGCCGAATGAAACAGTTTCTGAAGTATCACAGCACATGATGAAACAGGGTATACCTTGTTGGTTTAAAATTGTATACCTTCTTGAAACATCGAAGTGCATTTTCCTGCCAGATAGATAAAACAATTGAAACTCGATAAAACTTTGAGAAAAATGAAAATTTAGGATTACCAGAAAAACAGGAGTGGTATTTGTAACATAACCGAATAAACACAATAAATCGAATATTTTTCGTAACTTGGCGAATAAAGACTTTCACAAAAATGATCAAAAATCTCACCGGATCAGAAAAAATGCTACTAGTACATTATACCTACTAAGCTAAAAATAAGCGAAAAAAGTTGAATAAGATTGTAATGGTATTACTATAAGGCTAAATATCAACGATTTTATCAGATTAATTCAAGTAAAAATAAGTAATTAAAAATAAGTAAGTAAAAATAAGTCTGTAAAAATCCCCCTGTTATTGTTCAAGTAGTTCAACAGTGAAATATGGAGCTGTTAGCTGGAGAAGTCGTCACATGTCTTCCCGTTGTGGAATAGCTTGAAGTGTCTGATGAACCGCTCCGTTACTGTTGCGCCCTCAAAATCGCCTGATAATATAATTATGATATTAAGATAGATGGACACTGGACAGTCTGATATTGTATAGAAAGTAAAGTGAATAAAAAGTAGAGAACACACCTGTCGGTAGAATGGGTATATTTCTAGCGATTCAATACCAATACCATTCACAGTACTAAATAACAGTTTATAATAAGAACATGTGATAATTAAAACTTACTCAGAATGTCCCAGGTTTGTTTCAATTCCTCAACCAGCTCAACGGAGACTGTTTTGTTAAAGAACTTGTCCCCTCGCAGCAGATCCCAGCGGCTGAACACTGTTCCGTCCCCCTGCTCACATTCGCATTCCTCTGTGCTCTTTGTTTCTTCTTCTCCATCTTCCTCCGTTGGTTCTTCCTCACTTTCCTCTGTTAGTTCCGGGGTGCAACCTACGTCGATCTCAGTAACGTTACCTGATTTCTCCTCGAGTAGCAAATCCTCCCATTTCAGGTACCTACTTCGTCCGTACTTTTCCTCTACATCAGAACATTTTCCGGCGTCTGTCATCTCCTTAACTTCAGCTGCTTCGAGTTCTTTGTCAAATACATTTACCTTAAAGAGCTCTCCACCAAAAGCATTGTCATCAGCAAACCCACCTCCATAAGAGTCGAACTCGTTCCCCAGAACAATATACCCGTCCAACCCAAGCTTCTTACCAGAGGGGGTTGTGCCTGATCCGAGAAGGATGCCATCAAAGTACACACTAGCTGCTCTAGTAGTGAGACTCCACGTGTGGCAAACGTGTCTCCATATCCCTAGTTGATCAGTTACCTTACTTCTTATGTCTACACCATAGCCCAACGTCTGGAAATATCCGTTATCTTCTGACCTGATCTCCTGGTTATTACTTGAGGTTCCGTAAGCAAACCAGGTTTTCCATTCTCCAGGCCGTATCTTCTTCACCCATCCACATACCGAGAAGGACTCATCAAGGGGTTCCATTCTTGGCTTTAACAGAACGTGGTCTCGAGCAGTTGCTCCAAACTTAAGTCCTCTGTAGCGTCTTTCTACCAGTCCAGCATGGTCCGAGGTAGAGTCCGCGGTGGTGGTGGTGGTTCCGAGTAGGAGGAGGAGAGATAAGGTGAGCAACATGGTAAACAACTGTTCGATTGTGAGCTCTCCTACAAATACTCGGGTTTATGTTCTCTGAAGATGAACCTTTCAACAACATTCCTGCTTTTAGGCTCTGTCCTCTACTCATAGCAATGTTTCATCATACCAGGCACTTTTATCTCCTAATACGGCTATAATAGTTAAAATAGTTAATAGTACTATGTTTACAGTATGCACTGAAGAGGTATCATAGGAAGTTTATTGAATGTTTAGCAGGTACCCCTTTTCATTTAACCCTCAATTAAGTTTCCTAACATTCGGCTGAGTCGACCGAAGAGATCGCATAGATCCAATGGATCCTTAGCTACTCCCTAGACTAGGTGACACTGGGATTCGAACCCTGAACCTTCAGCAACCTGGTTTGTTAGATAATCTTATCTCCTCCATGTCTCATGGTTATACGGAGTAATGTCACGTGTAATGTCACGTGTTACTGCAGTGATAAGTACCAAAATACCAGGTTGATCATGAATGAATATCATATAGATATCATGAAACGTCATGAGAAGTTCCATGTATCGTTATTACGAACGTTAAACGCTAAATATACGGTGTATTTATCTGACTAAATATACCTGCCTCGCTTCCATGAATTTTCGCCCCACATTGACCACTATTATGCGAGAATCTGAGAACTGAAAGTAATCGTTATAATTGTTGATTTAGTTGGCAGTGTTATAGCCCAACTACTGCTGCAACCCTGCATTATTGTGTAAGTTCATAGTAGTACAGTAAACTAGCACAGTTGATATGAACAAATGACACAGTACGCACCTCTAATTTGAAAATCATGCAGTAATAGTCTGTTCTTATCAGAATATTGATGACATGGCTGTTATTTTGTGAAAACTTTGTGAGTCCGTCCCGATCGCAACTTTGCTCCAAAAAGTATACTCAGCGGCGGATTAAATTAAACTTACAGAGATTTTACCCGAGCTAGAATTCAATAAATGAAAACTTCAAAAGATACACTAAAATCTAACTTTGTTAAGTTATACTCGCCAATAAGATGGTTACCTAAGCTATAAGCATCACTCTCACTATTAATTAAACTTAGTCACGTGATAGTCCAATCCCTATTTGAACACATCTTAAAGGTGATAGGATATATTATACCTTGGCACGATGCCAAGTTGGCATCTTACATATCATAACTGGATACTGGCTCCCAACTTCATCCCTCCCACCACGGCCACCAGTACACATCCAGTATTGTTTGGGACCGTATCAGAAGAGAAGCTGTGCTTGATAATAACAACTGTATAACACAACCTCTATAGTATCTATATACTAGGCAGTATCTATATACTAGGCAGTAAGTAGTTCCTTCGTATAGACCCTCTGTAATTGCCCTGTACTAACACAACCTCTATACTCTATAGTATCTAGGCAGTAAGTAGTTCCTTCGTATAGACCCTCTGTTATTGCCCTGTACTAACACAACCTCTATACTCTATAGTATCTAGGCAGTAAGTAGTTCCTTCGTATAGACCCTCTGTAATCGCCCTGTACTAACACAACCTCTATACTCTATAGTATCTAGGCAGTAAGTAGTTCCTTCGTATAGACCCTCTGTAATCGCCCTGTACTAACACAACCTCTATACTCTATAGTATCTAGGCAGTAAGTAGTTCCTTCGTATAGACCCTCGGTTATTGCCCTGTACTAACACAACCTCTATACTCTATAGTATCTAGGCAGTAAGTAGTTCCTTCGTATAGACCCTCTGTTATTGCCCTGTACTAGGATCCAGTCTGGGTATTATATAGTTCAATTTGTAGAGATAACCACAGTTACAGACATTAAATATACTAAGATAGATAAAGGGAATTAATAACGAAGTGTTGCACAATAAGATAAGGGTTAGTTCCGAGATCTGAATGTTGTAATGAGAGATTGACTGCGCGCAGAGTTTGTAAAGAGCTGTCTGCAATTTCAAAATATTTTAATCGTAATCGTTTAACAATTTAGTCATTTAGTGCAACTAAATATATATATAACTATAATATATTATATAGGACCCGTTTAACTGGACATGGTTACTTTCAAAGAGTTTTACAAATTGAATGCCTGGGTACAATTTTGGGATTCTTATGTTAGAAATGTTGAATTCTCGTTAATAATTGAAGCACCCACGCGATGAAATCTCCCTGAAAGGAGAGATTATTTGTATTGTTACAGTAACTACTGGGTTGCTATAGTAACCCTGGGTTACTATAGCAATACAAGTCGAGATTGTTTGTATTGTTACGGCGAAGAAGAAGAAAACATGGCTGAAAACCTGGAGGGTTTTGAGGCAGAATTGGAAGAATGGGAAGAAACTTCGATCCAAAAACGTAGGTAACATAAACAACGCGGGAAAAGATTCGATATAGCACTTTCCACATTAACAGGGAATATCGCACCAGCAAAGCTTATTTTAGGGAAGATAAAGATACAAATAATTTTAGTGTCAATGATTTATAACTTGCTTTTTATGTGTTGAATGTGTGTTGTTTAATGTTTACGTCCCCTATTCGTTGCTATGATCGTGCTATGATTCAGTAATCTAACTTATTTTAAATAACATTATAGAGGCCTCTAGTATTAAACTTAGTAATTCAAACTAGGTGTAAAGGTAGCAAACTTTATGTTTATAAATACCAACATTAATTGTGTGACAATTGGAATGCGCACTTTTGGGTTGTCTGTATATTAAATTATGCTATTCTGTATTATTAATTTGCGGCAGCCAGTAGACTGCCTGCTGTCTAGTACACTGTTAAATTGTAACACAATATTTTACACTATCTAATTTAAATGTTGTGTGAGTTAAATAAAACAGTTTTCACGTTTTCACGGCCAATTTCAGATTATAGGATAATTTTATTACTACGTATTGCACAAAATTATTTTTCTTTAAAATCTTCAATCTGCGAGCCAATCATATATAATATAAAAATATAAATTTCGTGGTGATCTCGATCACTCAGGAGCTCAGGTTGGCTTCCATTATTATGTAGATTTCACTGCAACATTTCAGTTTATTATATCGTACCATTATACAACATTTCAATTGTTGATCCCCGGTAATGACTTTCTCCAATAAATGCAAATTTGTTTCAGTTTAAAGCCGGATTTGTTTCTAGCTTATCTCTTACCATGACCCTTTTATAAATTAAAATATACATAATATAAAATATTAATGATTAGCTGTTGCTCGGTTTTCCAAAGAGTGCTCAACTGCAATCAAGCAGGAGCATTATTTCAAATAATATGATATGTATGTAGAAAACAATACCAATCCTCAGTGCCAAATAAGAATAATGAATTCTAGAGATATGATATGTTGCTCCTTTATCGTTTGCCCGCCAATGAGTGTTTCTCTTTGTTTTAATATATAATACAGATGCAGTTGCACCTTAGCACAGCAGTTTACTGAGTCCTTATTCTCTTAAAATGTTTCAAAAGTGGGCCGAATAACGGTCAGTGTTTGTTTAACGTTGGCATATCATATTTTATTAGCATATGTTGCATAATATGCATAATGTTCAGTCATTATAATCATGTTGACATAGAAATAAAGGCCTGTTGTAGCCTTTATTTTACTTTATTCACATGCTAAATTGTACGTTTATACACAAGAAGAATTTAAATTGTATTATGTCCTTTCTCAGAAAGCGGACTAGAATAGCATCTCAATAAAAATTACAGTTACTACACGTAATTTAGAGTAATTTAGGGCACATGCCCTAAAAATAGAACTGATGTAAGAATAGTAAGAATAGGTTTCAAGCCAGTACACTGGTATGTGTCCCGCTAGATATATGTGATAAGTTTGAAAGAGAAACAATAACTCACAAGCGGTGCCAAGACCTGCAGCATTCCAAGAGGTATGCAAGTTGCAAAACACGTGCAAGTTGCAAAACACGTACAAGTCGCAAAACACGTACAAGTTGCAAAACACGTGCAAAACACGTGCAAGTTGCAAAACACGTGCAAGTTGCAAAACACGTGCAAAACACGTGCAAGTTGCAAAACATATGCTCGGGAAATGTAGGGCGTGGAATGTTGACCGTTGATTACATAGAACGTACTACTACTCACGCAGTAAAGATACATACTCGCACATTTTTACGTCAAATGTCACAGTGAAGATGTAAAGAAGTAAAGATGTTTACATTCAAATATTAAACGTTAATTGTAATACTAAATGTAAACCCTTATTTCCCTTAGATTAATAAATTCAAAAAATGGAAGCTTGTATACCTACCCTGCCATGCAGTTCAGTATGCACTTAGATTACTGTGCAGGATTCATTTACATGTACACTAAATGTTGTAACTACAATGTTGGGGTTAATGTCAGATACATGTCTATATAGTTATGATAGCAACTCCAATTATTGACAGCCGTTATTTCAGCGATGACCACCTTGGAGAGATGGTGGGATCAGATAAAGATAAAGTTAGGGATAAAAAAAGGCGAGATAGACCAGGGTTTGAGAGTGTTAAGAAGTAACGACCCTGCTTACAACCAGGAACAAAACTTCCCGGTATGTAAATCTTAAATTAGAGGAGTAGCACTGTGTGACTGTGGGCGCAGGCACGGGCACGGAAGGGGGGGGGGGGGGGGGGCTGGTCTCTTAATTCTGAAATTAGAGGAATAGCATGGTGGGCGCGGGCGCAGGGGGGGGGGCTGGTCTCTTACTTCTGAAATTAGAGGAATAGGATGGTGGGCGCGGGCGCAGGGGGGGGGGCTGGTTTCTTTCTTCTGAAATTAGAGGAATAGCATGGTGGGCACGGAAGGGGGGGGGGGGCTGGTCTTACTTCTGAAATTAGAGGAGTAGCATGGTGGGCGCGGACGCAGGGGGGGGGGGGGGGGGGGGGCTGGTCTCTTTTACTTCTGAAATTAGAGGAATAGAATGGTGGGCGGGGGCTGGTCTCTTTTACTTCTGAAATTAGAGGAGTAGAATGGTGGGGGGGGCCGGGGGGGGGGGCTGGTCTCTCACATAACTCCCCTTCCTTCAGAAGTAAGAGAGTAATGTGGCCTGGTCTCTTACTTCTCAAATAGTTTTTTGAGTCATTATACTAAAAACTTTAGAAGACTTAGTGGATCTATCTAGTACCCAATATATTTGATAAAATGACTATTTTAACTGATTTACAGTTTACAAGCAACAAATTGGCGCATATTTAACTAACAAACACCGTTACCAGGACAACTTCATCAGCACAACAAAATACAAAGCGTACTCCTTTCTGATAGTGAATCTGTGTGAACAATTCAGCAGATTAGCTAACGCTTACTTTCTCCTTATCCTTATTTTACAGGTAAATAATTACTTTTATTTAGTTTGTTACATTAATTACCTTATTACTAAGTTACAATAATTTTATTTATTACTTTTATTTAGTTAGTTACGTCCATTATTTAATTACTTAATTACATTAATTGCGTTTTACTTTATTTAGTAAGCTATATTTATCACTATGGTACAAGTTTATAGTGTGCTGTGTGGCCGAGGGAAAATGCACCAACAATTTGAAGTACATTAATTAATTCACTATTGAATCCACTCTTGCTATAGTGACCTCAATTCTACTCCCCGTGTTCCAATTTCAACTTGTAATAACCTCACTGTACCTCCCTCACTGTGGTAATCAGGTTGTACTAACCTCACTTACCCTCAGTTAATATCCTGAAACAGGTTGTACTAACCTCACTTACCCTCAGTTAATACCCTGGATCGCCGCTCTTGACTGGTGGATCACCTTACTTCCCCTATTATTTGTATTATCAGTAACTGGCTTTAAAGATGCTTACGATGACATTGTGAGTTACTAACAATAAAGTTACTTACAATATTTGCCGGGAGTTGATATTTGTTTCCTAATTTCCTAACACTGAATGGTTATTAAATATTAATTTACATATTATTAAATAAGCCTGTCATACGTGTGTTAACCAGACCGTGTGGTCTCTTTATAATGTGAATCTAACGGAAAATTGAGACATTCTCCAAAAATAGTTAGATCGTTCCACACTTAAAGCTTGTCACAGGTCACTAGCTATATATCGCCAAACTTCAAAGCTTGTCATATTGTAGTGACGTTAAACCTGTTATATTTCTGAACAACCCACAACCTACAACCTACAACCGTTCAGGCCCTTCCCACTTTTTGTCTGTCTGGTTCTATTATACCTGTTACAATAATAATATCACAGCAACGGTGGCGGAGTGACAAGTCGATAAACAACAGAACTACAACAGCTCTTATCAACAAACAGTGGAGTGAGACGAAGTGGAGTGAGGTTAATGTGGGCACACTTCTTAGGATAAAGTCTAACGAGTCTATACCAGTAAGTGTGAACAAGAGTCAGTTCCAAGTGTTAGTCATACTAAGTATCTAAGAGTCTGTAAGAGTTACCAGGTTTCTGAAATTATTATCAAGCGTCTAGGTTTAGGAGTAACGAAGTGTCTGTAAGGTTAAGGTTGAATGTTTGACAAGATAGTATTTAAGAGTATACCAAAGTGTCTGTACATAACATGACGTTCAAGCAAGTAGCTTGGTAAAATGTTACCAGAATTAGATTTAAGTGAACCAAGTTTCTTCTTTATCTTGGTTTTGAAAGTGTGAGCCCATCTGTTGTACAGCACATGTTACCATAGTTACACTACTAGTTACCATAGTAATGCTGCACAGTGTTTTATAAAACACCCTGTGATAATGTTAGATTAATCTAAATAATATAATCCCGTGCTAAATAATGTAAATTGTTTGTTTAATTAATCTTAATGACAAATCCAAATATACTGACTGATTTGTATTTGTTAGATAATAAATTAATCTAAATAAATACAACAACTTATTTATTTTCAGGCGGACCTGTTACTAATAAGCTCATCCTCACCTAACGGACTTGCTTACATTGAAACAGCAGAGCTTGATGGGTGAGTAGGGAGTAAACGTAACTAAAAGTTACTAAAAGTTTCTAAAAGTTACTAAAAGTTACTAGTAATGAGTAGTGACTATTAGAATTAGAGATATTATTTTGTTACTTTAGATACTTAGCTCCCTTTAATGTCTTAAAGTATTATATATGCAAAGACTGGAAGTGTGGGGACTGTAGAATATAAGATAACAGGATAACAGGATAACAGGACACTATTTATGAAACACCCTGTATAAGATAAGCTAGCACCAGAGCTAAAGAGCTGCTTAAGACCACCTTCTTAGTCTTAACAAATCTAAATACACGGATAATCTGAATATAATGCGAGAAAAATCGAAATTGGGGAGATTTACATAATATTGTCATATTGAGACACAAGTGCAAGATGAATTTAGGTTTTCGCTCTTAAGTTTACGACAGTATTCTGCTTTGCATAGAATCAGGTTTAGACAAAATTTAAAAGCTTTTTGGGAGACACCAGATAAGGTTTAAGACTGTTAAGCAACGTTTTGGAATGAGTACTAGACTGCTTCTCACGTTTTTACCTGATAAAAAGTATTCGGGTCCTGTAGTGGACGTGTTTTAACAGTTTTACTGATAAAACATAATAAAATTACAGCCCTCCAAAATGACATAACTTCACAGTAAACATGCGGTGAAGCTTGGCGAGTAATCCTAGGGTCGTGTTACCTCCAGGGTAACTGAATTGGTTTGGAGCACTAAAGTGGTTGGTGTAATAATTCCGCGACTTACTGACCCTCTCCGTCCAACTCACTGAATTGTCTCAACACCATTATGATTCGGGGAGTTATGATGTGATAATCTCACAGATTTTATAACCTCGTGTTTCATTTCAGGGAGACGAATCTGAAAGTGCGGCAGTCCCTTGCCGAGACAGAATCATACGTGGACGATACTGAAAAGCTCTCTAAATTTTTCGGTAATTGATAAGCTAACAAATCAATTTAAAGCTAATTAGTACGCTATCTAAATAAGCTACTTAATAAGCTAATTGTCAGAATTCTGATTAATCAGACGGACTCAAGCTGTGCCCTACACTCCTACACCAATCATTAGATTGCTTGGATATTACAAATATAACGCTGCGTAATGCGTGTCACACACACTGTGTGTTATTACGAGTGTCTAACTTCCGCTACACTGTGCGTGTGTGCAGCAGTAGTTTACAATGTAGTGATGTGAAAAAGTGTGAACTAATGAAGTAAGTAGACAGGTTACAGGTACTATATATAACATTAGAGTTAAAGGTAAAAGTAGAGTGCTGTGAAGGGACCTTGTGGCATGTGCCCATTAAAGCACGTGACCGTTGTGTGACCACGTGGTACAGTTGCCATGGTAACGTGACTGTGATCACGATAATAATAATATCATCACAACGATTTGCCCATATGTGCCAAAGCCAAACACATAACTAGATTAAAAGCTTAAAGCTCTGTATCACCTCGTTGGTAGTGTGACTTAACCGAAACACTAGGGTTGTAAATTGTAGAGCTTATACGGCTCATGTACGAGAACCTGTGTAGAGCACAGCAAGGCCGACCAAGACAAAGCTACTTGTCTATGTTACTGAAGGAAGTTGGGACAAACTCTAAAGAGGAACTGCGAACCCTGGTGCGGGACAGGGATATATGGAGGGGTTATCTGGCGTAGATTGGACTTAGTTCCGACATAGTAGTAGTAGAAACACTAGGGTCTTATAACATTATTATAACGAGGATGGGTAACGAGTATTCTATAATACTTTTAGACACGAAGGGAAACATACAACGTAAGGTTTGAAATCTTCGTAAAACTACGTCATTAGAGCCTGCAAAAACATTTAACTTTTAGATAAGCACTCTATCAAGTAAAATTCATATATAATCATCAGAGTTTATTAACTCAATAAAAATTGCAAAAGAATACTCTTGTTGTCTAAGTTTTAATCGCTGGATTATTCGCGATAAACAGTACACAAGCTCGTTGATAATGCAGATAATGATATAGTTATCCTATAATAGTATACTTTATGTATAGGATGTAAGTGCCTGCATTAGGTACTGAACTAAACTTAGATGAGTCTAATAGATCTATGTAACACATCTTAATTTATCTGCATAGCGTTTAAGTAATTTGTCTTGCGACTTTAATGATCTAAAGATAAGTACATATTTTATAAAGATAAGTAAATTTATTTATCGTATTTGTTGGAAGCTAGGGTCGTACCGGGAAGCAGTTAATTGAATAGCAGGTTAATGTGAGGCATTGTACGCACAGAAAGTAGTACGCAATACTGTACTATTGGCTTGTGTACATGACGGTCAATTCTCCCGCAGCTGTAATATTACAATATAACTGCAGGTAGGTTATTTAACCTATCTGCAGTCTGCATCACGTTACCATAGTTACACTACTAGTTATTTATCTACTGAAATAAATTTAAGAAAACGAAAATCCATTTGAATCCTCCTTCTCCTGTCGTCTTTGGACGGATTTCATAGACAATCATAATTGTAAAATATTCAGCCGTTCGATCTTGATTGTTATACATATTTATTTAAGAGTGTGTATTTGTCAGTTTCCCAACTCATCAGCTTGCAAATGTCAGTCTGCAGTGTAAATACTCTAGATAATACTCTAGATAATACTCTAGATAACATTGTACTGGAGCATCACACCTTATTCACATTGTAAACTGTTCCTTACCGGCCCTTATTCTGATGGTCCTAATATTGCACCATCATTATAGAAAGAAAAGAAGGAGCAGCTTCTGTTGGGCTATTTAAATTGGTAACGGTGATTTATAAGTACAAAAGAGCTGTTACAGATTATATTTGGGGGTTATGTAAGTTAGTTATGTAAGTAAGTCTTAAACTGTTTCTAGATAACCCATTGGTGAGCAATTAAAGCTGTCCTAATGGAAATTCTTTGCTGGACTGGAGTATGAATAAGGCAGCAGCGATGCTGCAAGGGCGGTCGAACTATTTGATAGTAGACTAGTAGAGGAATCTACGAATCTCTCCAAAGTATCCAAAGTAGTCACGCTTCATATTCTGTAGTACGTACAAGTGCTCGTTTACACGCTCTGAGCCGGTCTGAGCAGCTCAAATCTGGTTTTGAGTTTCACTATGTACTCTTAGTACATTCCTTAGTACATTCCTTAGTATCTATTCCTATGATACAGTGAGCTAGTATGTACTTGTGTGAGCTAGTATAACATCAAAATAAGTTAGTGATAGAGATGCAGGAGCAAAAGTAAAGTTTGTTACGCCCAGATTGAATACTGATTGAGTATTACGGAACAATTAAACTTTTACGCTATTTTCATAACACGCAGTAGACAAATCACCGTGCTTATCTTAATCTAGTTTTCCGTGACTAATGTGTAATCAGGGGGTAATCAAATTGCCTTTTGTTTGGCTGTTATTTCCCATATCATGTTTCTTCGAGCTTGTGGTAAAAAGCGCTCATCACGTCATGTATTTGTTATCAAAGGCTTTAGCACAACGTACTAGTTTTTGAGCAACAATATGTAGAGAGAACTACATACTAAGAGGAAGTACAATTTTATAAAAACAATACGCCCCACTCTTATAATGAGGGCTACATCTGTTTCTGTAACTTTGCGCCCTAAACCTCAGTACCAGATGGAACACCAAACCGCTTATTTCTCAATCAATCCTGTACTCTGCAAGCAATCCTGTACTCTGCATCACGAGGGGTTTGTAGGACGCGTTACCATGACAACGAGGCTGCTACTAGCCTCCCATCCAAATGTTTGGTTTAATTTGACCAAAAACAGTTTCAAATGGATTCGAATATGTAGAATTTAACTCAGATTTCCAAGTTTATCAGTTTTGTAGATTCAGGAAGCTACTTGAATATAAGGTTAACTATTGTTGCAACATACCGTCCAGTCATTACTACTTACTAAAGCTGGTAAGCAAGCTGCACAATGTACTTGTCCAGCAATAGGTCCTCTGCACTCTGCAGTGTAGTAGTGACTAGAGATTACTACTGATCAGCTCTGTCCATCACTAAATATGAGTCTGCACTCTGAGTGATGTCAGGAATGTTAGTTATGAGAGTTTTGGAGTCGTGGAGGGTAACCTGCCTCACGTACACACGTACACACGTCACGATTAGACTGAGTGGGGCATGTTTTACTTGACCCTTATAATACTTCTCCTTGTAGGATATCCAACGTAGGGTATACTTGGAACTTGTGCGAGATTTCTCTGGCCAAGGGATAACTCTGGAGACTGGTATTTGTTTGTTAATTTGGATGGTTCATTGTTGTCTGGCTTCTCTTCCATATCCTGTCATCACTCCTGGAGTAATGGATATTATATGTTTATTTCAATAAATATAATAATCAATAAATTAGAATAGAAACTTGTCTTCTTTTCAGCTCACTCTTCTGAAACCTCTTCCTCTACATTCTCAGCCTCATCATCAACTTCATTATCTTCATCATCAACATCATCACCCCTGTCTTCATTGTTGGTGGTGTGTGCAAGATTTAGGTCAAGTTCGTCAACAGGTATTGCTTTCTCATAATACCGTCCTCTGTGTCCTCTCACTGCAATCAATACTGTCTTAAGTAGCTCAAACCTCAAACGACGTCTTAGATTTGCCATGATGAGGCTTTTGTCCTGGCTGGTCTTGGCTGCCAGAAGTGTTGCTACTCGTTTAAGGAACATGGTAGCCTGTGGGCCCATACCTCCGGTGGTCGAGAATACAAGGCCATTGCAGGTTCCTTTTTCAATTTGTACACAGCGGTCTCCATATTTCCTTTCTTTCTCTCTCTCATGCTTGCTGTACATCTTTGCTGGGGTGTTGTGATTAGCGTTGGATTTGGCTCCGGGGTGTAAAACCCTGATATCAAAAAATGCCATCTCCATTGGTGACCACAAACCTCTAGCTGCTATGTCGAGCCTTGCCCCATCATCCAGGATGGTACCAGGGCGAAGGCTTTCTCCAGTGCATGGCTGGAGTGTGGGCTCTACAACAACCTCATTACAGATTTTTTCAAGAATGCTTGCAACAGTGTCTCTCAGTCGGTTGTGTCTGCTGTTGACAAAGCCTCCTTTCTTGCAAATAAGAATGTGGTTGTAGGTGTTATCTTTGCCACAAATGCATTTCTTGGCTATGTTGGCGCTTCTCTTCCTGTCTTTTGGTTTGGTTCTGATGGTTTTTGATGTCTATGGTTACTACTGCTGCTGCTGCTTCTTCTAAGTCACAGGATGTGTCCTTCCTTCGCTGCTCTCGTCGCTGTAAAACCTGTGCTGATATGGTGTTTTGTACGGACTTTAGGTCATCTGTATCTGGGACTAAATTTGACTGTATATTTGAGTTTGATGTTGGAGAAGAGAAAGTTATAAATTGTAAAAGTACTAATGTTATTTATCTTTTGAGCTGTAAATGTTGTAATTCTCAATATGTAGGAGAGACTGTGCAAGAACTTAAGGATCGTATGTCGCAACACCGTGGGACTACGAATCCTACTGGAAATTCGGGAAATTTTAGATTGAGACAGCATTTTTTAGAATCTATTAATTGTAATTCGTTTAGTGTTCAAATTATTCAGAAACTTGCAGGTAAGGGGAGAACTGGTGTTAAGCGTCCTAATTCTACTAAATTTGTTATTGATGAAAATATTTCTAAAATTAGGAAAGGACATGAAGATCGTTGGATCAGAGTACTTAAAACACAATTTCCTTATGGGATTAATGATAGGATTGATAGTTTAGCTAATAAAGATAGTTATAATTGTGAATATGCTAAATTTATTTCTTGTAAAGATAGTTCTAGAAAGAAATCCTGGGCTGATAGACAGCAAAGCGATTTATCTCAGTTTGATATTGACAATATTTTGGGTGAATTATTACGTTTAGTTGTTGAACCATTTCACAGCGATGTTAATATTTTATTACGTAAATTATTGTTTCCTTTAAATAAGTCTACACTCGTTAAACTTAAAGAGAGCTATTTAGATAAAGTTTTTCAAATTGATAACCTAGACCCTAGTAGATCTCAGATACATTGTATTATAATGGACTTATTCACTTATAAAATTAGACCTTTTAACTCGAGAACTGATAAAAGTAAGAGCGTCCGTAAGCCTAAAGTTTTATGTTCTATTGATTTTGTGAACAAGGGTATTGAAATGTTAAATTTACCTAGAGTTTTTAGATCTCCTAGTTTGAAATCGTTTGTTAATTTTTGTACCATTAAAGAACCTACTGTTGTATATAAAGGTACTGATAATGTTTCTAAGAAGTTATTTAATTATAATAACGTTGTTAAGGGAGACACTGAACCTTTAGAATGCAAATGTCATATGTTTACTGATTTCGTAAATCAGGATTGTGGTCATGTTGTGACTGGGGATGTTAATTTTGTAAAGCACGACGCCTTGAGAAGTCTGTTAGAGAAAGGTCCTTCTTATAAAGAACCTAAAACGATTGATTTTGATAAGAATTGTAATTCGGTAATAGATAATGTTAAAGAAATCTTAAAACCTTGGAGTAGGAAAGAGAAAATCGATAGTGCATGTTTAAATGGTTGGTTTAATGAATTTAGTGATATTGTTAAGAAGAATACTGAAGCTCTTAAAATGAAATATCCTAAACAGCTTAAACGGAAATCTGTGTTTAGTAATGATAAAGCTTGTGAAGAATTAGCGTTTATCAGAAAGTATTTTGTTTTATGTCCGGTGGACAAAGCAACTAAGAACGTCGCTATTATTTGTAAACATTATTATTTAAGTGATATTATACAAGAGTGTCAATCTAATGAGGGTATTGATGATGTTAGTGGGGAGCATGAAGTTCGTGATATTAACAAAGATATTTTCAAGTTCATAGAAGACGTTGGGATAAAAGTAGATTCTAATATTGATAATTTACCTCACATGTTTTCGAGTCCTAAATTTCATAAGCCAATTTTAAAGTTTAGGTATGTTATTTCTTATGCTAATTGTAGTATTAAGCCCTTGGCAGTAAAGATTTCTTTAGCCTTAAAGGCTGTTTATTCAGAGATCTGCAGATATACTAACATGTTGTTTAAAGTAACAGGAGTTAATAGGAATTGGGTCATTTTGAATAATAAACCGATTTTAGATGCTTTAGATAATATTAATGATAATAGCTTAGCGAGAAACATCCAAACTTTTGATTTTTCTACTTTATACACGAATTTAGCCCATAAAGATATCAAGGATGCTCTCAAGTTTACTGTTAAATTAGCCTTTAGGAATAATAAAAAGAAGTTTATAGCTGTTTACGATAAAGGGTCTGCTTGGGTTAATAGCTTTAGAGATGGGACTGTGGCTTTTGATGAAGTTAAGTTGATTAAATGTGTTGAGTTTCTACTGGATAATTGTTACTTTAAAGTAGGAGAGATCTTATATCGGCAACATATCGGTGTACCTATTGGAATCAACCCTGGTCCATATATTGCTAACTTAACACTTTGGTATTTTGAGAACAGTTTCCTAGACAGTACGTATAAAAGTAGATACTATATTGTAAAGAAGTTAAATAATACATTTAGACTTATAGATGATATTACTACCCTTAACTCTGATGGTTACTTAGAGGAATATTTTAAGTTAATATATCCAGACTCTCTTACTCTTAATAAGGAAAATGAAGTAGATAGTGCCGCCAATGTATTAGATCTTGATATTTCGATAAATAGCGAGGGGAAGTTTTCTTGTAGAGTTTATGATAAAAGGGATAAGTTTGGTTTTAAAGTGGTCAAGTTTCAACCTTTGATGAGTAATCAAGCTAGTAGTGTATTATATGGCACGTACTGTTCACAGGTTGTGAGATATTCTAGGATCTGTAATAACGTTGTTGCTTTTTCTGATAGAGTTTTAAAGTTTACTGATGATTTAATTGAGTTGGGTTTTAGACGGGATCGTCTTAGTAAAATATACTTATCAGTGGTAAAGAGGCACGGGCTAAAGAATAAGTTTGGTATTGGGTGTGGAAATATATTAATGCCATAGCTTGACCTATTGCATCCTTTTCTAATGTTGCAAAATATTTGTCGCACGTGTTGAATTTAGTTTTATAATAACTTTGCGGCGGCGCAAATCGGAGTCTTAGAATTACGCGGGAAATTACGCGGGAGTAATTGGAGTTTGGGGCAGTTCGTTTTATGACGTATCGACTACGTTTGCTTAGTATACTTTATTCCTACCGTTTTATTACATTTTTTACTTTATCTACCTATCACTATACAGTATACATATTTAATCTTAAATTATCATTTTAGTGGAACTATGTAAAAGGGGATCGTTGCTAGCGTTAAAACTGTTTTAACCCTGCCATAGTCAGTTGAAAGTCTGATAGCATATGTTCCGTTTGATTTGACCAAACTAATGCCTTTCATTGCTTTATATATATACAAACCTGCCCAACAGACTGCGTGAAGGCTGCGAATAGCCTTAGAACGTAGGGTTTGATACAGGGTACCGTACTGTTCTATAAATACAGCTTAAGGTCCGATACTGATATGGACACCACGCACAAATTATAACTTTTTACTCAGAATTGTTAGGCCCTGTAGATATGATAAAATACTTCTAGTGATCAAACCACCAAACAAATTGTTGGATGTCCCAGATTTAATATAGCGCAATTGTTGTTATTCTCATCAGATTTCGACCATCATACTTGACGTAGAAGTTATCCGCCTATCCCAATCAATCTGACATCACGTGACCTACGCGGTGTCACGTGTTATGCCACGTGTTATGCCACGTGTTATGCCACGTGTTAGGCCACGTGTTATGCCACGTGTTATGCCACGTGTTAGGCCACGTGTTATGTCACGTGTTATGCCACGTGTTATGCCACGTGTTATGTCACGTGTTATGCCACGTGTTAGGCCACGTGTTATGTCACGTGTTATGCCACGTGTTATGTCACGTGTTATGTCACGTGTTATGTCACGTGTTATATTGCCAATTGTACTGAAGACAAAGGTGCGGTGTCTCAGATGAGAATGTACTGTGACGGCTATTGATTCACTGGAATTTCACTTTAATTGCCTATGATGTATTCCATGGCAAGGTATGTGTATGCCGTTACTCTAATCATGTGTCTATCATTACAGTATTACAGTCTACCTCTTAACGTTACAACTTATATTGGGTCACTTTTCATTTGTGAAATTTGCTCGCTTCGAGTAGATCAAGTTGCAGCTACAAAACTATTAGAAGCTGTACTGTCTAACAGTACATTAACTAGTTTACTGAACATTACTGACCTCTCATGGAATTAGTGGGCGTGTTGTCAGGTAGTGGTGCCCATAGCAAGGCTCTACACAGCGGAACTTAATGAGGGGGAGGGGGTTGTGCTTCATTGTGGGCTTAACATTTCTCTAGATCTGTTTTTTTATTAACATCAAAATAAATCACGATAATAATGAATAGTCACGTCGTTCCTTACTAAGTAAGTAATGAAAGTTAGTCCTTCTGTAAATGACTTAATGTTGCTTCTTACTGTCACGCTAAGTTAAGTTAAAGAAGAATGTGTAGCGTAATTACATAAGTGAGTTCTAAATAGGGGAGGCAGTGTGCAGATGTGTGCAAACAGCCAGAAGTGAAACTAAATACACAGCGAAGTTAAATACGCAGACACTGTGACAAATTATATGGTGCCGTCATGCATCTTGCTGGTGTGTAATATTATAAATATTAAGAAATTAGTCCATCTTAGCACCTTTAGCCCCATAAGGTATCCACTAAGTGTTTACAAAACAACACTAGAGATGTACTTATTGTACCCCCTCAGGGCTTACAAAACAACACTAGAGATGTACTTATTGTACCCCCTCAGGGCTTACAAAACAACACTAGAGATGTACCCTCAAAACAACACTAGAGATGTACCCCCCCAAAACAACACTAGAGATGTACCCCTCAGGGCTTACAAAACAACACTACCCCTCAGTGTTTACAACACTAGAGATGTACTTATTGTACCCCCTCAGGGCGAGTTGAATGTGAGTTACCAAACAACCGATTAGACAAGTACATTGGTTTGTTGGCTATGGAGAGTATTTATGACGGTGACGGAGACCTCGCTCAGTATTCACTTGATAACGATAAGATACTGTTGAGGGTAAGTTAGGCACTTGTAACATATTCCCTTTCTTTTATGTTTATTGGGATTTTAGAAGAGACAAATTTCTGCAGAAAAGCTTTTTATTGTAATTATATATGTATGATCTATTCGGCAGCTAAAGTTGGCAATTTGTCAAGATTTATGTTAGTTTTGAACACTAACTAACGTTGTGTAAGATTCACACAAAAATTTTGAAATATAATTCTCGTGATGACCTCAGTCTGCTTTGACAAAAGACAGCGATTAGTAATCAACGTGCGGCAACGATTATTTATTAATCAAACTTGTAAATAAGTAAATAACTTTCTCTAGTCAAAATAAATGCACGTCTCCTAGTATAACCAGTCTAGTCGATCAGATCACGATCACGTGACTCGTTAAAACTGGAGTTATTCTATTTAACGCATATTTCAGGGTATGGTGTTGAAGAACACTTCTTGGGTGGTGGGATTGACTGTTTTTACGGGACACCAAACCAAACTAATGATGAATTCAGGTTAGTCTACGCTCCGTGATGACTAAGTGTTCAGCCATCGAACTAAAGTATACATATTATATTTAAGTTGCAAGCTTACTGTGCTAAGCATACATAATATTTTGATCTAATAGTGTAAATGGTCAGTTTTTATTATATCGTTCGATTCGTAGGCGTGACACTGCTGCAGTGTGACCGGCTCTAATTGTTTTGCTACATTTTTGTAGCGCGCGACACAACAATTGTGTTGCAAATTTCCTGCGCGCGCATGACTAGCATTCACCAGCTTTTGTTCCCGCCGCGCGTTACAATGCAAACTTAAATTTATTGCATGTCCACAGCACAGTACTGAGTACTCGAAATTAGAAAACTCTGGCCCGCCGCCCAAGCTACTCGAACGTAATATAAAACGCCGGAAACGAAAAATGAGAATGTACCTTATCTACTTATTTTGTCTCTGTGAACTGAAAGTTAATGATCACACATAGGTACGCTGCTTCCTAATCCCATTTTCCCAGGCAAACCCACGTTGAAGCGAACGAATGTTGATCAGCTCCTTAACAAAATTGTTTACTATGTAAGTTCCATGAACTTCCTTTGATGATATTTTCCTTAACTTAACAAGATCTTATATCTTGACAAACTCTAAGGAGCAGATTTGGAGATGATAAATACTAACTGCGGGTTCTATTTCAGATATTGGGTTTATTACTTGCCTTGTGTACAGTTTGTGGGGTAGGGTCTTTTATCTGGGAGACCATCCGCGGAGAGGCAAGTTCTATTATTAATTCAACCTTCTGACATTGAAATTGCGATAATATACAATGCTTGTAGCGCGATGCACTAACTACGCCGAGCTGCGAAGGATTGACATCGTGAATCAAATAAATGCTTGAAACTGAGCGTTTTAGTTATTGTTGTTGATATGACGTCACTGTATTTATAACCCTGAATTTGTTTCAGTATTTCTCAGAGCAATTTGCCCCGTGGATATCCCCCTTTGACAACGCGTTACTTATCGCTGTTATGCGTATACCCTCCTATATTATTGTCCTTAATACCTTAGTGCCCATATCATTATACGTCAGGTTAGTTACACTTATTTTAAACCTAGTAAATTATAAAATTACCCCAACATACATTTCTTAGTGTCCTTACAATCTTTGGTTGATTGTCTGAAAGTAATGTCTGGATTTGAAAGCTTTAATTCTCGCTACAACTTGTTAACCTTATGGTAATTTCAGTGTAGAGATGATACGATTAGGTCAAAGTATGTTTATAAACTGGGACCTGTTGATGTATCACAACGAAACTGATACACCTGCTAAAGCTAGGTCAGTAACACCACGTCTACATGTTTACTTTACATTACACAATCAGGGACAAAAGGATTTCGCGATTATTTTGGCCAAAATTCGCGATACCGCGATTTTTAGCAGACTATACATTAAACTATACATAAAATTTGTTGCAAATAATGGGAAAAATCGCGATTCCGTACATGCCTTTCCTTTTGTCCCTGTACGCAATCCTTTGTACTACATAATCTGATACTCCATCCTGCATTTCATATTATGGGTTTATTAACAAAACATACATTTTCATGATAGAGATTTTGGATTAAATGAATTTAGAACGTCATCCCCACAATTTCAATCTCAGGAGTACAGCACTGAACGAAGAGTTGGGACAGATAAAGTACGTGTTCAGCGACAAGACAGGAACACTAACTCAGAATGTCATGGTCTTCCTGAAGGCCTCTATCAACAGTGTCCAGTATGGTAGTGGCACTGGGAGCGAGGAAGATATCGCTATGGTAAACTTTGTTGCTTTCATTTTACTAACTGTGATGAGATATCTTCTCCTAGACGAACGAGCGCGAGCGGTAATTTGATAATCTGTCGATGGAAACTTTAGGCAAGGTTGACACACATTTAAGGGTACATTTCACAGTTAAATAAAAGCTTTATAAAATATATATTTAAACTTGCCAGGATCCCGCAAAGAGTGTAGATTTCTCCTGGAACGAGTATGCAGACCCTAAGTTTACATACGACGATGAGTCCATTGTAACGGCTGTCAATGATCGCGACCCGGAAGTGGACAAATTCTTAAAGGTACGTTTTTAGCAGCTTTATTTGTATATTTAGCAGCTTCATTTGTGATCTCTTGATAATGACTATGTTAGCGGGTCCGAGTGTATATAAAATCATCCGAATCTTACCATGAGAAATGTTGACAAGGTGACAGTACTGTAGTAGGGAGTTCTGGAAAAATTATTTATGTTTTACTATCAACAGCCAGTTCGTCAGGTGGTAGAAAATGGATAAATTAAGGTTCTGTCATTTCCGAGTTTTGGTTGAAGCCTTAGATTTTTTGTCATTAATGTTGGAAGGGAGGGAAAGAAACGTTAAAATTATAGCGCAAGTTAAGTCAACTTTAACTGTATAACTGTAGGACGAACAAATGTTGCACGTGCGCGAGTAAAATGCAGCATTATTGCTTTCATTAACGTCAAGGTATACGCGCAAAGTTTGGCTGTTCATAACTTTCGGTGCCATTTGTTTTGATGTGGTAAAAAGTTTCAATTAGGGAATCCTTATGACCTTGTTATCATCGAAGAATTAAACCCAACAATCAACATGGTTCACAGTGGTACTATATATGTTGTGGTGAAGATTACTGGTTTGTGATTTTGAAATTCCTCGAACATACCCCGTTTTGATCAGTGGGTTTCTATGAAGTTGATACGATACGTATTTTATTTAACAAAAATTTTCTAAAATCTGATAACCGCTGTCAGAAAATAATTTGTAATACCCTAAAAGTTTATGTCGTAGGTTATTTAAACTGGCCATTCATATCCCGTGGATATTCGTTGTACCATTTCTGCAGCATATTTAAGTTGAGAAGATTTACACATTTTTATACGTTGATTTCTCTTCCCGATGCTCTGCATCAAACACTATTAAATATTCCAACTTTGATACCTTGATGAGGTTTACCAAAAGTGTCCATTGGACCGACCGACTGGATTTGTCAGATAATAATTAGTTCCTGCACGAATCATGATGTCTGCTTACACGGGGTTGTAGAATTATCGGGGACTTTGTCGAGATATTTTTACAATTAAATGCATTATTATGGACAGAAGAAGAAGATGTTATAAAGCTAAATCCAGTTATAATGCAGTGTGCAGTTCTTACTTTTATTTATTACGTCATGACATTTGACCAAGTTAGATGCAGGCAGTCATAAACCTCACATGATGTCAAGGTACTTTTACAATTAAATAATTAAATAAATTATGGACATAAGAAAAAGATTTTACAAAACGAAAGATCTTTGCTTTGACCTAATGTAAAGATAATCAGATCAGTAGAATTATAGTTGATATCGTTTCTTTTCTGAAGAATCCTTCACGCATTATGTTACTAACTAGTCTTATCTGGAGCGAGTTATATCATTTATTTAATCTTTTGCTGTAAGTGTAGTCCGTATCTTGAAAGGCTGAAACTTGAAAGCATTATTTAGATGGTTATGATTTTCACTACTTTGTCAAATCAATTTGTTGGCTATTCTAAAACTTTAGATCCTTTATTACTGGTGAGGAGATGAGCCTTCCTTTTCTGACACGTGACAGCCATAAACCAATCAGCTTCCAATATCAACAAATCCACCGGTATCCGGATCTATTGAATATGTGACCAAGTTAAGAAAACCCAGCAATTCCTCTCATTGGCTCGTCATGTTAATTTTCCAGATACTCAGCATCCAGCTTAATTGTCGGTATCTAAATTGAATCTTGAAGATCCTTCGTTCGCCCACCAAATGTCATAAACGTTTCATCTCCCGCTTCTAAATTTAAAGAAGATACAAATTGATCACTGATCGAGTTTAACTGACCTCCTCATATTATCTCTGGAATTCAGGGGCCTTACCTCCTTACACAATAGAATTACACCAGTGATTTGGATCCGTTGCTGTAATTTGCAGTGCTGTCTTCTTATTATTGTTCCCGTTTCAAGAATGTACATTTAGACATTTCACATGTCACTCTCCTTGTGTTGGTAGCTCTAGAGTCTAGACTCTAGAGGGTGTTTCAGTTAGCGACCCAAAGTATTCTGGTGTAAAGTATAGTCAGCACTTTATTTCCTCGGCCCTTTATTTCCTCGGCCCTTTATTTCCTCGGCCCTTTATTTCCTCGGCCCTTCATTTCCTCGGCCCTTTATTTCTTCGGCCCTTTATTCCCTCGGCCCTTTATTTCTTCGGCCCTTTATTCCCTCGGCCCTTTATTTCTTCGGCCCTTTATTCCCTCGGCCCTTCATTTCCTCGGCCCTTTTTGAGCTAGTTGCTTTCTACCATTCATAATACCGGTCATTCACAATTTATTTTGCTCACAATTTGGGCTGCTCATCGTTTCCAATCCAGTGTTAATGCGGTGTTTAGTTCTTACTTTAATTTATGGCGTCATTCGTGAAGACATTTGACCAAGTTATACCCAGGCTAGAGATAAACATCGCCTGGTGCCGACTGAAATTTGGTTACAATTACTTGGTGATAAGCCACCTTCTAATTGTCAATGATTTTATAATTCACTTTTTTACTTACAATGATGTTATTTTACGATTGAACTCATAAACGATTAACCCTCGATGTTATCAAACTTTTATTGTTATCACATTTATACACTGATACCCTTAATTTAACCAGCTTTAGAAAGTTTTTAAGTTGTTATACACCAGGCCTAGAGATAGAGCATTTTTCAGAGCCTTCTTTCAATTTTATAAATAGCCGGGTCGTAAGTAAGACACAGACTAGTCAAAGTTCCAATCATAAACGGATAATCAATACAATGCAAATGTAATAATGTAATAATAGAAGATCCGATGCGTTTATTTTGTATCTGAGTATAATGTAAACTTTTATCGTTGCTGATTTGTAATACTGTTTGTCGCCTGGGGGTTGTTGTTAATTATACATTATAGGGTATTATTACAGGAGGTTGTTGTTGTTATTTATATCTGATACTTCTTCTCAAATTGCCAGAATAATACGCTTGACCAGCCCTTATTTGAGCAATTTTCCCTCCTCTGTTCATGTCCTCCTCCAAAAAAGGTCTACAGAGTTCTAAATAGTTTTTTTTTCCTTGGTTTAGATAAATTATTAATATTACATTCTCACGCTGATTTACACATAGCCCTAGCTCTCAAACATTTCAACTCACTATGAGCGATAAAAGTGTTGTTCTCGATAACGGATCTTATCAGATAAAAGCTGGGTTCGCTCAGGAAGACGCCCCTCGTTCTGTTATTCCTACAGTACTGGGACACTACAAACAAGCTTTTACTGCGGAGGATGAAGCAAGGTATTACGTGGGGAGTGATGCTCAGAGCAAGAGAGAAGCTCTTAGCCTCCAGTCCCCATTCAGTGGAGGTACTGTTACTAACTGGGATACCATGCAAAAGATCTGGGATCACACCTTTCACAATGACCTTCGACTAGAGCCCAAGGAAACTAAAATGTTTATGATCGATCCTCCACTCAATCCTCACTCAAACAGAGAAACAATGGCCCAGCTTATTTTCGAGACCTTCAAATTCTCGTCCTTGTACGTGATAACCTCAGCTGTTCCCACTCTCTACGCGTCCGGACGGTCCACTGGTGTTGTAGTGGATTCTGGTTACGATGTTACTCGTGTTGTTCCTGTCTGCGAGGGATTTGTCATGACAGACGAAATAAAACAAGTGGAGCTAGCAGGTAGAGCTGTCACTAACAACATGACTAATCTCATCTGGGAGAGCACTGGGAACAACCCGCCTGAGGCTTACACCTTTAGGGAGATCAAGGAGAAGTTCTGTTATGTTGCTGAAGACTACGATCTGGAGCTTCAGAAAGCTGGTAGTTCTGACTTTTGTAAATCGGAATACAAGTTACCGGATGGTACTGAGGTTTCTCTGAGGAATGAGAGATTTGATTGTACGGAGATTCTCTTCCAGCCCTACCTTGGGGGTCATGATTGTGCTGGCATCCACGAAATCTGCCACCAATCCATCTCAAAGTGTGACGCTGATATTTTGGAAGAATTATACAGCAACATCGTCCTCGCTGGATCCACTACTCTGTTCCCTGGTATGGCACAGAGGCTGCGGAGAGAGATCACTGCTTTGGCTCCTGCCCATACTAAAGTTAAGATGAGTGAGGACCCCAAGGGGAACCTGGCTACCTGGTTAGGAGGCTCTATAATGGCTAGTATGACTTCTGCAGATCAGTGGATTACTAAGGAGGAGTATGAGGAACAGGGTTCTAAAGTTGTGTTCCAGAAATGTCCACAATAAATGTCAACAATAGTGCAACATTTGCCTTCATTCTGGAGAGATTATATTTTGTGACTGAACTCTGACTGTTAATAAGGAAGCTGTTAGTGTGAAACACTAACACTAACACTAACACTTACACTGTTAGGGTAGTGTGAAACACTAAACTCCTAGCAAAATAAATTCGTGAGCTCAGTTTTTGACATTTCGTTAAGTTAATACTAATAGTAGTTTTTGTAAGTTTTAGTTGCATGTGTTTTTATTTCTCTTACTTTTTATCTGTGTGGGTCGAAATATGCTTATCAATTTTCTAAAAAGAGCCGTAAACGGTAGGTAGTTATTAATGTGAGACGGCCGACTTTATGGCCGTTACTTTTGTATCGAAACAATATAATAATTCAATTGTAATAACCACTTAAAAAATAAATTTTTGAAATAATAGTTTTAATTCGGAATCATCATAATAATTGATAAACATCCCTTACTTACACTCTGCAACTCAAGCAACGTCATTAAAATAAACTAACTCAAGATGTGCAGTGTAATCATTGGTTACTTGCTTAAACAACTGACCAACTATGTCCTGATCTTAAGCTTATTTAATTTAATACTCAAAACAATACCCCGGATGAATCCTTAATCAAATAAAAACTACATCACTAGTCCTGCTAACAGAGTATTGGAATAGGTAATGTGGAAATTAAACCCTGATTAATGTGGAGCTGTTTCAGGTTCTGTCCCTCACTAGTCCTGCTAACAGAGTATTGTCTCAGGTTCTGTCCCTCTGCCACAAGAGATTAATCTCTCTCTGTTTCAGGTTCTGTCCCTCTGCCACAAGAGATTAATCTCTCTCTGTTTCAGGTTCTGTCCCTCTGCCACAAGAGATTAATCTCTCTCTGTTTCAGGTTCTGTCCCTCTAACAGAGTATTGTTTCAGGTTCTGTCCCTCTAACAGAGTATTGTTTTAGGTTCTGTCCCTCTAACAGAGTATTGTTTCAGGTTCTGTCCCTCTAACAGAGTATTGTTTCAGGTTCTGTCCCTCTAACAGAGTATTGTCTCAGGTTCTGTCCCTCTAACAGAGTATTGTTTCAGGTTCTGTCCCTCTGCCACAAGAGATTAATCCCTCTCTGTTTCAGGTTCTGTCCCTCTAACAGAGTATTGTTTCAGGTTCTGTCCCTCTAACAGAGTATTGTTTCAGGTTCTGTCCCTCTAACAGGGTATTGTTTCAGGTTCTGTCCCTCACTAGTCCTGCTAACAGAGTATTGTCTCAGGTTCTGTCCCTCTGCCATAAGAGATTAATCTCTCTCTGTTTCAGGTTCTGTCCCTCTGCCAACCTGATTAATCTCTCTCTCTGTTTCAGGTTCTGTCCCTCTAACAGGGTATTGTTTCAGGTTCTGTCCCTCTAACAGAGTATTGTTTCAGGTTCTGTCCCTCTGCCACAAGAGATTAATCTCTCTCTGTTTCAGGTTCTGTCCCTCTGCCACAAGAGATTAATCTCTCTCTCTGTTTCAGGTTCTGTCCCTCTGCCACAAGAGATTAATCTCTCTCTCTGTTTCAGGTTCTGTCCCTCTGCCACAAGAGATTAATCGCTCTCTCTGTTTCAGGTTCTGTCCCTCTGCCACAAGAGATTAATCTCTCTCTCTGTTTCAGGTTCGGTCCCTCTAACAGAGTATTGTTTCAGGTTCTGTCCCTCTAACAGAGTATTGTTTCAGGTTCTGTCCCTCTAACAGAGTATTGTTTCAGGTTCTGTCCCTCTAACAGAGTATTGTTTCAGGTTCTGTCCCTCTAACAGAGTATTGTTTCAGGTTCTGTTCCTCTAACAGAGTATTGTTTCAGGTTCTGTCCCTCACTAGTCCTGCTAACAGAGTATTGTTTCAGGTTCTGTCCCTCTAACAGAGTATTGTTTCAGGTTCTGTCCCTCTAACAGAGTATTGTTTCAGGTTCTGTCCCTCTAACAGAGTATTGTTTCAGGTTCTGTCCCTCTAACAGAGTATTGTTTCAGGTTCTGTCCCTCTAACAGAGTATTGTTTCAGGTTCTGTCCCTCAGAGGGGGGGGGGGGGGGTGTCACGTCTGTCTATGTCCGCTTGTCTCATAGAATCCAAAAAGGACAGGACATAGGCGGACATAGGCGGACATAGGTGGACATAGACGGACATAGGCGGACATAGGCGGACATAGGCGGACATAGGCGGACATTAATGGACACCTAAATTGCTAAATAAAATGTTCAATTTTTGCTGTTATAGGGGGATCATGTTTTTTGTCCGTTCGGTACCCTATATTTTCAAAACGGACAAAAAATAGAGCGGACAAAAATGGACAAAAACGGACAAAAATGGAAATAACATTTAGATGCTTCCTCCTCCTACTCTTCCTCCTCCTCCCCCTGGGTCTTCCTGATCTTCCTCAGTCCTCTTCCTCCTCCCCTCCTCAGTCCTCCTCCTACTCCTCCTCTTCGTCCTCAGTCCTCCTCATCAGTCCTCAACAGTCCTCCTCCTCCCCAGTCCTCCTCCATCTCCTGAGTCCTCCTCCTGGGTCCTCCTCCTGGGTCCTCCTCCTCCTCTTCATCCTCCTCCTCTTCCTCCTCAGTCCTCAGTCCTCCTCAGTCCTCCTCCTCATCCTTCTCCTCAGTCCTCCTCCTCCTGGGTCCTCCTCCTCATCCTTCTCATCAGTCCTCCTCCTCCCCAGTCCTCTCCCAGTCCCCCTCCTTCTCCTCCTCCTATTCAGTCCTCCTCCTCCTCCTCAGTTCTCCTCAGTCCTCCTTCTCATTTCTCCTAAGTCCTCCTCCTGAGTCCTCCTCCTCTTCCTTCTGAGTCCTCCTCCTGAGTCATCCTCCCTCTCAGTCATCCTCCTCAGTCATCCTCCTCAGCTATCCTCCCAGCCATCCTCCTCAGCCATCCTCCTCAGTACTCCTCAGTCCTCCTCCTTCTCAGTCATCGTCAGTCCTCCTTCTCAGTCATCGTCAGTCCTCCTCCTCAGTCCTCCTCAGTCCTCCTCCTGGGTCCTCCTCCTCCTCCTCCTCCTGGGTCCTCCTGGGTCTTTCTGATCCTCCCCAGTCCTCTTCCTCCTCCCCTCCTCAGTCCTCCTCCTACTCCTCCTCCTCGTCCTCAGTCCTCCTCATCAGTCCTCAACAGTTCTCCTCCTCCCCAGTCCTCCTCCTCCTCCTGGGGCCTTTTCCTGGGTCCTCCTCCTGGGTCCTCCTCCTCCTGGGTCCTCCTCCTCCTGGGTCCTCCTTCTCCTCCTCAGACTTAAGGTTTTTTTTTTACATATTTGATAGATTTACAGATCTGGCTCGACAAAAATTTTCAGAAAAAATCATGTTCGCGGGAAGCAAAAATCCGATGAGTTTTTTAGGGGGAGGGGTAGGGGGTTGAGGGGGGTTGGGAAGGGTTGTCACATGACGAGAAATTTTTTGCAAAAATTAAACAATCTTTATTTGTTGATATTATTCACCCCTGTTGCCTATAGTGGTGGGTCTGCACTTGAGAAGAGTGGGTCTGGCCGCTAGAATGGTGGGTCTGCAATCTAGAAGTGGGTCTGGCAACCAGAATGGTGGGTCTACAATCTAGAAGTGGGTCTGGCAACCAGAATGATGGGTCTGTACCCTTAAAGAGTGGTCTGACAACCAGAGTGGTGGGTGTGCACTTGAGAATAGTGGGTCTGGCAGCTAGAATGGTGGGTATGCAATCTAGAAGTGGGTCTGTTAACCAGAATTGTGGGTCTACACCCTTGAAGAGTGGGTCTGACAACCAGAATGGTGGGTCTGCACTTGAGAAGAGTGGTTCTTGCGGCTGGAATGGTGGGTCTGCAATCTAGAAGTTGGTCTAGCAACCAGAATTGTGGATCTGCATTCGAGAATAATGAGTCTTCACTCTAGAAGAGTGGGTCTGACAACCAGAATGGTGGGTCTGCACTTGAGAAGAGTGGGTCTGGCGGCTGGAATGGTGGGTCTGCAATCTAGAAGTTGGTCTAGCAACCAGAATTGTGGATCTGCATTCGAGAATAATGAGTCTTCACTCTAGAAGAGTGGGTCCGGCAACCAGAGTGGTGTGTCTGCACTTGAGAAGCGTGGGTCTGGCCGCTAAATGGTGAGTCTGCACCCTTTAAGAGTGGGTCTGACAACCAGAGTGGTGGGTCTGGACTTGAGAAGAGTGGGTCTGGCAGCTGGAATGGTGGGTCTGCATTCTAGAAGTTGGTCTGGCAACCAGAATGGTGGGTGTACGTACACCCTTGAAGAGTGGGTCTGACAACCCGAGTGGTGGGTCTGGACTTGAGAAGAGTGGGTCTGGCAGCTGGAATGGTGGGTCTGCAATCTAGAAGTTGGTCCGGCAACCAGAATTGTGGGTGTACGTACACCCTTGAAGAGTGGGTCTGACAACCAGAGTGGTGGGTCTGCACCCTTGAAGAGTGGGTCTGACAACCAGGGTGGTGGGTCTACACTTGAGAAGAGTTGGTCTGGCAATCTGGAATAGTGGGTCTGGCAACCAGAATTGCGGGTCTGCATTCTAGAGTAGTGGATCTTCACTCTATAAGAGTGGGCCTGGCAACCAGAATGGTATGTCTACACTCTGTCAACCAGATTTGGGGGTCTATAAACTAGAATAAAGGAGATATGGCTACCAGAATTGTGGGTTTGGACAACCCGAATGGTGGGTCTTCACTCTAGAATAATAGGTCTGGTGGGTCTACACTTTAGAAGAGTGGGTCTGGCTACTAGATTGGTGTGTCTGCAATCTATAAGAGTGGGTCTGGCAACCAGAATAGTGGGTCTGCAATCAAGGGAATCAAGATGAGTGAGTCTGGCAATCAGAATGGTGGGTCTGCACCTTAGGGTAGTGGGTCTGGAAACAAGAATGATGGGTCAGAATTCTTGAATAGTGGGTCTTCACTCTAGCTAAGAGTGGGTCTGGCAACCAGAATAGTGGGTCTGCAATCAAGGGAATCAAGATGAGTGAGTCTGGCAATCAGAATGGTGGGTCTGCACCTTAGGGTAGTGGGTCTGGAAACAAGAATGATGGGTCAGAATTCTTGAATAGTGGGTCTTCACTCTAGCTAAGAGTGGGTCTGGCAACAAGAATGGTGGGTAAGAATTCTAGAATAGTGGGTCTTCACTCTAGAAGAGTGGGTCTGGCAACCAGAATGGTAAGTCTACACTCTGTAGCTGTCAAGTGTCAACCAGAATTGGGGGTCTAAACTAGAATATAGGATATATGGCAACCAGAATTGTGCGTCTGGAGTCTAGAGTCTAGAATAGTGGGTCCGGCAACCCGAAAGGTGGGTCTTCACTCAAGAATAGTGGGTCTGGCAATCGGAATGGTGCGTCTACACTCTAGAAGAGTGGGGCTGGCAACCAGAATGGTAGGTCTTCGCCTTAGAAGAGTGAGTCTGGCAACCAGAATGGTGGGTCTGCATTTTAGAATAGTGGGTCTTGACTCTATACCTACTAGAAGAGTGGGTCTCCTCTCTAGAAGAGTGAATCTGGCAACCAGAATGGTAATTCTTCACTCTGTCAACCAGAATTGGGGGTCTATGAACTAGAATATAGGAGATATGACAACCGTGTCGTCTCTCCTTCTTCAGAGACAGGCTTTATTTCAACATACCGTGTCGCATCTTGTTTTATTGTCTCTCCTTCTTCAGAGACAGGCTTTCTTTCAGCATTATATCGTGTCGTAACAAGTTCTACGTCTCTACTTCTTCAGAGACATTCACTATTTCAGTCAAGGTATTTATCCTTATATCTATTATTGGTTTTAAAAATTTTTAAATTCAAATTTGTATTTTATTTATCAGTTTAATTTGAAGCACACTTGGACAAATAGAGCCTCCCATTTTGTTATTATTATCTAGATAGGTGATAGGTACCATGGACACTGGATCTCAGCAACATACAGAAGATACTACCTGTCATCATAATAGAGTCTAATGAACTCTACCCACAGGTTAGTCAGGCAGTGGATCACACTCTGATGACATCTCCTTTTGGAGATTTCGGACTCTCAGACTACCTATACTAGTTGAGTGTGTTCCATAACCTAGCACCCTGCCTAAACGTTCGGTACTCCTGGACCTATGTGGCAAGCCTGCTCCCTGAACAAAAAAAAAAAAAAAAAAATATGACAACCAGAATTGTGGGTCTGGACTCTAGAATAGTGGGTCTGGCAACCAAAATGTTGAGTCTGCACTCTAATAGAGTGGGTCTGGCAACTAGAATGCAGACACGTAGCCAAGGGGAAGACCCCCGGAAAAAAATTGAACCCCAAAAAAAATAAGCCCCCTAGTCCCCATGGTCGCCTGGTAAGTGGGATGTGTTTATGACTGTTTGATAAAACGACACGACAGGCAATCGACTTTAGCATTTCGTAAATTATTCCCAAATCCCACTATACAATATGTACTTATTCAATTCAATGTGACAAGTACTGAGTTCCCCCCTAGCCCCCAACTTTGTATTATTGTGATGTCTGAAATTACAAATTTCTAATGCCTAATGTCGTCTGAAACACCCTATTTCTCAAATTTTTTTCGGGGGCTGCACCCCCAACTTTGTATTATCGCCGTCCTACAAATTTCTTTAATGCCTAATGTCGTCTAAAACAAATAATTTCTAAAAATTTTCTTGGGGGCTGCGCCCCCCCCCCCCCCCCCCCAGTCCCCCAACTTTATATTATTGTGATGTCTGATTATTACTGCGCCCCCCCAGCCCACCAACCTTGTATTATTGTAATGTCTGATTATTGCTGTCCCACAAATGTCGTCTGGAACACCCTATTTCTCAAAAATTTTCCGAAGGCCAGGGCTGCGCCTGCCTAGCCCTCCAACTTTGTATTATTGTGATGTCTGATTATAATTACTGTCCTACAAATTTCTTTAATGCCAAATGTCGTCTAAAACACATAATTTCTCAAAAATTTTCTGATTGGCTGCGCCCCCCCCTCCCTAGCCAACCAACTTTATATTATTGTGATGTCTGATTATTACTGCCCTACTAATTTCTTTAATGCCTAATATCGTCTGAATCACCCTATTTCTCAAAAATTTTCCGGGGGGTGCGCCCCCCTAGCCTCCCAACTTTGTATTATTGTGATGTCTGATTATTACTGTCCTACAAATTTCTTTAATGCCATATGTCGTCTAAAACACATTATTTCTCAAAAATTTTCTGGGGGGCTGCGCCCCCCCCGGCCCCCCAACTTTATATTATTGTGATGTCTGATTATTACTGTCCCCAAATTTCTTTAATGCCAAATGCCGTTTTAATCACCCTATTTCTCAAAAATTTTCCTGAGGGTTCGCTCCCCTTGCCCACCAACTTTATATTATTCTGATGTATGATTATTGCTGTCCTACAAATTTCTTTAATGCCAAATGTCGTCTGAATCACCCTATTTCTCAAAAATTTTCCGGGGGTTGCGCCCCCCAGCCCGGCCCACCAACCTTGTATTATTGTAATGTCTGATTATTGCTGTCCTACAAATGTCGTCTGGAACACCCTATTTCTCAAAAATGTTCCGAAGGCCAGGGCTGCGCCCCCCTAGCCCCCCAACTCTGTATTATTGTGATGTCTGATTATTACTGTCCTACAAATTTCTTTAATGCCAAATGTCGTCTAAAACACATAATTTCTCAAAAATTTTCTGGGGGGCTTCGCCTTCCCCCCTCCCTAGCCAACCGAACGAGCTTCGCCCCGGCTACGTGTCGTGTCGGGCTACGTGCCCAGAATCGAAAAAACTTAATCTTTAAATGAATAACGGAACCTTCTTTATGAAGTTACGAGATGATAATATAATTGGGAGGCAAAGTGGGTATCGGGCTTGGGGCTCATAATGCGCAAAATTTGGCCGCTGTCGAGTGGGTCTGCCTAAAATTCACAGATCTAGCTATGGGTCTGAGACATTTGTAAAAAAAAAACCTTATCCTCAGTCCTTCTCCTCCTCCTCCTCAGTCCTCTTCCTCCTCTTCCTCCTCCTCTCAGTCATCCTCCTCAGCCATCCTCCTTAGCCATCCTCCTCAGTCCTCCTCCTTCTCAGTCCTCCTCAGTCCTCCTCCTGAGTCCTCCTCCTCCTCAGTCATCCTCCTCAGTTCTCCTCCTCCTCCTCCTAGGTCCTCCTTCTGGGTCCTCCTCCTCCTCCTCCTCCTGGGTTTTCCTGATCCTTCTCCTCCCTCTCAGTCATCCTCCTCAGTCATCCTCCTCAGTCATCCTCCTCAGCCATCCTCCTCAGCCATCCTTCTCAGCCATCCTTCTCAGCCATCCTCCTCAGTACTCTTCAGTACTCTTCAGTACTCTTCAGTCCTCAAAATGTTTGTCCGCTAATGTCCACCAATGTCCGCTAATGTCCACTAATGTCCATCCAAGTCCGCCAATGTCCGTCCGGGTCCGCCAATGTCCGTCCGAGTCCGCCAATGTCCGTCCGAGTCCGTCCGAGTCCGCCAATGTCCGTCCGTGTCCGCCAATGTCCCAAAAAACACGTCCGTTGTCTCATAGAATCCAAAAAGGACAGGACATAGGCGGACATAGACGGACATGTCACCCCCCCCAACAGAGTATTGTTTCAGGTTCTGTCCCTCTAACAGAGTATTGTTTCAGGTTCTGTCCCTCTAACAGAGTATTGTTTCAGGTTCTGTCCCTCTAACAGAGTATTGTTTCAGGTTCTGTCCCTCTAACAGAGTATTGTTTCAGGTTCTGTCCCTCTAACAGAGTATTGTTTCAGGTTCTGTCCCTCTAACAGAGTATTGTTTCAGGTTCTGTCCCTCTGCCACAAGAGATTAATCTCTCTCTGTTTCAGGTTCTGTCCCTCTGCCACAAGAGATTAATCTCTCTCTGTTTCAGGTTCTGTCCCTCTAACAGAGTATTGTTTCAGGTTCTGTCCCTCTAACAGAGTATTGTTTCAGGTTCTGTCCCTCTAACAGAGTATTGTTTCAGGTTCTGTCCCTCTGCCACAAGAGATTAAAATCTCTCTCTGTTTCAGGTTCTGTCCCTCACTAGTCCTGCTAACAGAGTATTGTTTCAGGTTCTGTCCCTCTGCCACACCGTCATGTCATCCGAGGAGGACGGTAAGCTCGTCTACCAAGCTCAGAGTCCAGACGAGGAAGCTCTTCTTACTGCTGCCAGGAACTTTGGTTACGTTTTTCTGGTGAGTAACATGGGGGCCGGGGGGGGGAAGGAGGGGACCACTGGTATTTTATTAATTGCAGCAGACATTGGAATGTCGACCTCAGCTTGTGCACAGTCTTCGCAAATCCGAAAATCTGGGGAGTAGAGACTAGAGCACAGAATGAGATGGAGCTGTCGGTGTTTTTGTTAAACCTGAACTCATTTTCAGACCCGCACTCAGAAAACAGTGACGATGAGCCTGCTGGGAGTGACAGAGGAGTATGAAATGTTAGCTCTTCTTGACTTTGATAACGTTCGTAAGAGGATGAGCATTATTTTGAGGTGCCCTGACGGTAAAATCAGACTCTTCTGCAAAGGAGCTGGTAAGTCGAGCCTTGTTTTTTTAATGTTCAAAATGTTTTAATTCTCAAATAGACGTTAAATGCCATATTTTAAGCGTGTGTAATCATACTTTTCATGTTCACCTTTATCATGTTAAGATTAAAAGTGTAGACTGTAGAGTGGGGAGTGGGGAGTGTTGAGGCCTCACATCAAGATCAATTTTCAAACATGCTATCTCAATTCTCGATAACGCGAACCATTTTCAATCTTCGCACTGTAACGTCAGTCCGTGTTCAACATTGTTATCTCTAGATAATTGTCATGGACCGTCAGTTGCTCTCAGTTGTCTTATTTATCTTCCCTCTCCTCTGCTTGGTAACTTGTGATGACGAATACACCCAGCTAGAGATTGACGCAGAAACCACCAACTCGGAGTATGTTTCAATGGGGTTGAAACTTCGAGTGCTAAAATTTGAAAATGAAGTTGCTTACTGGAAGATATTTCCGATTGCCCTTAATCACGCCGTAGTGGGATTGTCAAAGTCAGACGTGCTGGAAAGAACGCTTAGTGTAGCTATGACGGTTGATGGGATGAAAGGGTTCGAAGAGGAACTAAAAGATAATAAAATAACCGAAACCATAGACGAAATAGATAGCTTAGAAGTAGTCAGCGGGACTCTGGAATTTGCGGAAGAACTTAATCTAGTCAACAACACAGATCCCGAGAAGTTTGATTTTGGGAAGATCTGGGACGTGGAAACGATTGAAAACTACATAAACGAGACAGTGTTTCACTATCCGTGGATTACAGAGCTGGATCTAGGAGAGAGTTCCGGAGGGAGGATGATAAAAGCTGTCAAAGTGTCCAGGTATCCTAACAGCCGGTGGCCAGAGCGATATGTACACGTGTTCATGGGCAGTTGGAGTGGAGCTCATTGGACGTCCATGAAACTTATTTTGAAGATGATGGGCAAGATAACGGAGTATGACAATGATACGTACGATAAGATACACCCTCTGGTTACCAGGAACACCTTGTACTTTATCCCGCTGCCAAACCCAGATGGCTACCATCACACTATCTCCAAACCTAACAGATTTTGGAACAAGAATTTACATAGCTCTACCAAGAATAAGTTCAGCTGTGAAGGTGTAAATTTGGACCGCAATGCCAGACCCACGGTCACCAGCCACAACATCCGTTCTAAAACTTGTAACCTGCTCTTTGATGGGTTGGGTCCGTATTCGGAAAATGAAACTCAGATTATGGTAAATCTAGTGGAGCAGATCGTGGCAGAGTCAACTCATCCTATACACTGGTACCAAATGGACGATAGTACTGGCGCTATGCTCATCCCTCCATGGTTTTCAGAATCATTAATATCCAGCCCCAAACCGAATCTCGCGGGCATCATGGATTTCTTTAAAAATCGAGAAGAACAAATTCAAATTGAAATTGCGAACAAAGCTCGTGAAAAAGCTAACCAGGAGGTAAAGAATGAGGAAATAGAAGGTGCAGCAAAAGAATCTGAAGAAGAATCTGAAGAGCCGCATTACGGAGTAGTGCGAGGGATGGACTCTATGCCCGAGAAGGACAGCTCTGTTCCCCGAACTGTTGAAATAATGGACACACACCGCAACACACTATCTCACTTTCTAGATACCCTCATTACGAAGGGGGTGACACAGACTTACTCTGTTGGAATCCCTCTTAGTATGCTGGAGTTCATCAGACCTGTGGGTGATGAAATGGCTGATATCATTGATAAATACTCGGACAGTTTCCTGCGGGCTGTTGACCAGATAGCCCGTCCGTCCGACCCTATCGAACCCATTAAACCGATACTGACAGTGCTGCAGTGGTTTGTACCTATCATAATACTAGCGTTCACAATAATCGTCATATTCAAAATGCACGATGACACCTTGAGTATGCAAGTGTTGAGAGCGAAGAATGCAGTGAAGGCACCTAAACATGTCAAAGCTGTGGGTGCGATGAGATTGTTTGATGTTACAGTGAAGAGACAGGAGAAGAAGGAGGAGGATATTCAGCCACTGTGAACTCCTTCATCAAACTTATCGTTTAATTAGTAATTACTACTGTTAAAGATTTGGAACTTGATTGTTTAAAAAGCAAATATGACAGACATCAGGAGTTGAATCGCACAATCTTGATATTATGCAGATGTGCAGTAGATTAAGCAAATTTGTCAAAATGCAATCATTGGTATGTTTTAATTTATAAAAGCCTGTTATGTGTAGTGTTTACTATTGTAGAGGTTGGTGTTATACCGGGATCTTGAGGATTAGTTCAAGTACTTTTTTAGGCGTCTAATACAAAGTGATACTCGTTATATTAGTTTGACTTCTTGAAAGGTAAAGTCAGCAAAGGTTTATTAGAATATGAGAACTAAACACAAGTTCATTCGTATCTCACAAAACGGGTCAGACAGACTTATTTTACAATCGTAACCACGGACGGCTATGGAGGTGAAAGTAATGTCATGTGAGTCGTGTTTCTCAATTGTGATTGGCTGATGTTAAGATAGTGTTAGGACGGTGAAAGGTGAAGGTAGTTACTTAGTCTTAAGGTTTCTGAGAATGAATTCGTGAGGGAGGTATTACTAATAGGTGTGAACTTGAAGTGTTAAAACTTGAAGGCAATGCTTTGTGAAATTAGTATGAGTTTATTTGAAGCCGTCCGGTAATAAAACATGAAATATTAGAATTAAAATTAAGAAATGAAATTATATGCTTTACAATATTCAAATCTTATCTTGTAAATATTATATGATGTTTTTGTTCAAGAATTTAGATTTAATTCTAATTACCGTGATTTCATTGCTGACGAAAGGAAAAAAGGTTAAAACATCCAAAACAAATTGGTGTTGGTTAAAATTATCTAAATATCATTAATATAACCAAGTACCAAATCGAAATAGTACCTCTTAAATCATGACAGATTTCCATCATATTATGTAAAATCCGTCTCTTTTCCTCAACTCTCCTCTCTTCAGACACGACAGTGATTCCTCTTCTGAACAACAACGACCCGGCCAAGTTAGAGGCTACTCTGGATCACATGAACTTCTACGCTAGAGAGGGTTTAAGAACTCTCATCATCGCTTGTAAAGAAATATCTGACCAGGATTTTGCAGAATGGGAGATTATCTTCGAGAAAGCTCAGTTAGTAAACATTAGTAAACATCAGTAAACATTTTAGTTAGTAAACGTATATAAATATTTTTATCTAATATCAGACCGCCGAGAAAATGATCTGAACCTAATTTGATTTGTCATGAAATTGAGAGGTTAAACCGAACCTACCCCAGGTTGTCTCTAGAAGACAGAGATGATCAGATAAACGCAGCACAGGACCTGATAGAAACAGAACTGGACCTGGTAGGATCTAGTGCTATTGAGGATAAACTTCAAGACGGGGTCCCGGAAACTATTGCTAATCTTGCACGTGCAAGTATTAAGATCTGGGTTCTCACTGGTGATAAACAGGGTGAGTGGCTTTGGAATGGTTTACTCTTTTAACGTCCATTCTGAAAATATGTATATTTTCTAGGCTTTGGTTGTTATTTAGCGCTAACATAAACACGAAGACTTGTTTGTATTCTAAGATAAAAGTTGTGACAAATTGTGACTCACAATAACCAAGTAGTCCCCTAAACTGTAGTAACTAATTACTGAGCCGTTCAAACTTCCTCTCCCCAGAGACCGCTATAAATATCGGATACAGCTGCAAGTTGATAAAGCCGCGGATGGAGGTGCTCATACTGGAGGGAGATGAGTCAGACGAAGTGAAGTTCGAGATAAAGGAGCTCCAGTATCGAATAGACGAACTCAAGAGGGTTGCTAAAAAGGTAAACTAATAAATATGTTGTAACGATATCGTATCCTATCCATGGTCATATCCGATCTGTCTCGCTGTTAACTCGTTGTTGACTAGTGTAATGAGGTTGTACTTTAGCTGCACGTGGTGCTTCAGCTGGCCCATTCAAATGTACAGTCCTACAGTTCTTGTACGTACAGTTTGTCTCGCACATGTACAATGTGCCTCACATGTATCTCACATGGCCTCTGTTACTGTAGAATAGTGTGAGTCTTTGGGGACTTGGTCTTTCGGGTTCCGGTCATTTTAAAGTACATTGAAGAGTCTCGTGTTTCGTGCCCCCCCCCTCTGTGAACCTTTCTGATTATAGTAATGCAATAAAACGAAACAAATTATATTTAGTTTAATAAATCATAGCCGAATCAAATTATTGAGAAATATTCTAGTTAAAGACTCTTTCTTCTCGTTGATCAATGTACCAGTCTAAGGAGATTTAGCATTTGCCACAGCTCTTCCTACAAATACGGGCATGACGAGCTTTATAGCAGAGATATTTGTTACTGTCGCAACCAAACCATAGATCTTTGCAGACTGAAACAGGACTATTTATATCAGTAGGGACTAAGTCCGGAACTGGAGCCATTCCTTTCGGAACAGGAGCCATTCCTTCCGGAACAGGAGCCATTCCTTCCGGAACAGGAGCCATTCCTTCCGGAACAGGAGCCATTATTCCCTCCGGGGACTGCAGAGCATTCCGGAGAGGGTCCGCTGCAATTGCGAGTGCGAGAGTTGCGAGAAGGAAGATCATCTTTGTAGTTCGTCTTTTGGATGAGATAACTGTTCTGTTGCTCTGTTTTTATAGCTGGATGGACTTCAAATTCAGGTGGTCATATGTTGAAGTGTGAATTTCGTTAATTCATTATGAAATTTAATTTGGTTATGAAATGAAATTTGGTCCGTCAAAATGAGTTTCGAAGACAAAAGAAGTTTGTTTGCTTTGTTTTTATCGGTGAAAAATTCGTTAAACTGCTTTGCGATACAATTCGGGGGCTTTAATTGAATTTCTTCCAGCAAAATGGATGCTTAAACTTATTACACGACTTATTCATACTTATTGAACTAATATCGTTATACTTCGGAGTTGACTTAATTTTCTTCTCAATAAACCTGTATAGATTAAAGCTTTGCTACTTATTGGATTGAGGTGTTTCAAACAATGACATTTACAACGTGGAAATAGTTTACTGGGGTGACTATAAAACTCGTCTTGCCCAAAAGGCTGGATATACTTTTCTTTAAAGGGCTTGAAGAGAAAACAATCTACAAATATCGATTTAAACTTCGGAAGCTGCATTCCAAACCTGCTATGTTCAGAATTCAGATTTGCACCAACGAACATTTTAATTTTTGATCAGTTAAATTAAAATAGACGAAGATCCCTGCTGCTTAATCTCACCTTACTTTTTGATTCGGAAGTTAATTTTATAGCCAATGTTATAACTATAAATTATCTTTAAATCTAGCTGGTTACTTTTATTGTTAAAAGAGTCCTGAAGTACACACAGGATTGATCCGTTACATGAGACATAAGATTGACAGTTTGATTACAGTTTTACAATTTCTCAGAAAGCATTTGTGGAGTAGTCACTCGACTAAAATAAAACAGAAAACTTTTATAATGCAACTTTTTCAGATCAAATCAATGCGAAATATTCACAGTAAACTGTTTTCTTCTCGTTGATAAGTCCGGAAGTGTGGTGAGATCTAGCATTTACCGCATGTCTTCATACAGAGGCTAACGTAGTACTTGCACATGTAGTCCGTATACAAACCACAGGTACTGTAATCGTCTTTACAGTCGGGAGCAGAAGTTGGATCAGGTCCAGGATTTGGTCCATCAGTGGGGTCAGGTCCTGGATTGTTACCACTCATTGTGATAATAGCAGAGTGAGTGTAGAGCTTGCAGTTGTGATGGTTTCTGGCCATGTAGACATAGCCACTGCTTCCCCAGCTGCCTCCCCAACTGTTCTTGATGGCGAAGCTCTTGCTGTCGTATGCCACCATGGTAACGGCGTGGTTAGCGTTTCCTCTGCAGCTTGTGTCCCTGAGAACTCCACCTCGGTACTGTTGGCAAGCACTTGTCACTTCGAAAGCGACAGCAATAGGTCCTCGGGTTAGACCACTCATGTGACCAGACTCGGATGCTGGAACTGCATATTGTCCTGTCACTTTAGCCTTCAAACCGTTAGCTTTTCCTCGGTAGCTGCATGATCCATCTCTTCCTCTGTAGGAGACTGCACTGGAGGGGGCCAGACGCTGGTTCTGCTGCGCGTAGGTGAAACAGTCCTGCATCCATCCACCTTGGCACCCATCTCGTTTGCCCTCGTAGACACAATCCAGAAACTCTTGCTCAGCGAAGGTTACCAGTGATCCGGTGGCTGCTTTGTGAACTCCTTCAGTACTGCCCACAGCACCGAATGTCCAGCAAGATCCACAGCTTCCTTGGTTCTTTACTCCAGTGACACCTCCTTTCTGCCTCCAATCAATATCCGAAGCCATGGGTGCATCAGAGAGTGGTAGTGGTTCTCCAACAGGGTGTTCCATGGAAGAGTTGAATCCCAGGTATTGTTTCTTCTCATCTCAGTGAGGTCAGAGAAGAAGTTTAGTCCAGCAGTCCAACTCAGTTCCTGCTCGTTGGTCTCCACCACCTCCTGTACGTTCTTCCGGAACAGTCTGAATCTCAGCTTCACTTCATGGGGAAGGTAGACTCGTCCTTCCTCGTCTCCGAACTGGAAGAAGAGCTCAGACATTCCTTTGGGGGACCGAGAGCATTCCGGAGAGGGTCAAATGCACTGGTGAGTGCGAGAGTTGCGAGAAGGAAGATCATCTTTGTAGTTCGTCTTTTGGATGAGATAACTGATGAGATAACTGTTCTGTTGCTCTGTTTTTATAGCTGGAAGGAGTTCAAATTCAGGCGGTCATATGGTGAAGTGTGAATTTCGTTAATTCATTATGAAATTTACATTGGGTATGAAATGAAATTTGGTCCGTCAAAATGAGTTTCAAACACAAAAGAATCGTCACGTAATTCACTCAAATTCAGCTGTTCAGCTGATTTACTTCGCGTTTTATTTATAACAATTTGAGTAAGTCATTGTTACTTATTAGATATTTCAAGCGTTTAAAACAAAGACATTTTTGAAGGAATAAAATTATACAAATCTTTACGAAGAATTTAGAATAAGGATGGTCAGACCGTGTAAAATTTGTTAATTCTATTGACTTAAACATCTCAGCAGTGTCACTTTAAAATGCAGAGTGATTGGGTTTAGCTGGACCTAAACTGGAGTTATCTCTTTTAATCTAGGTTGAGTAACAACTCAAGAGCTAAAACCTAAAGTTATGGTTCAAACTTCAACTGACCGCTCTCCCCAACCATATTTGCAATAATTTACAGTTCCTCAGATTGAAAAAAGTAGGGCCCGTGACTGAAAATTTGACGGGTTCCAGACCTCGTCTGCCCGCTGCTATTTGGTCCATTATTGGCTCAATAATTATGCCAAATTACCTTAAAATGCCCAAAACAAAGCTTTGTGGTGCTCTACTTGTAGTTACTAGTCTCATGAACAGTGAACACGTACTTCCCAGTTCAATTTGTAACGGAGTTTTATGTTAACAGGAAACGATGTAACAGAGTCAATATATTTTAATGTTGCCATGCGGTGGCAAGTCCCTATGGCTATACACCGTAGTCCGATAGTCCTAATATTTAGTTTTATATGTATTGGACAAAAATTGGCTGAGTTATCAGCCAAAAATTATATGACCATATTTGGGCATACGCGCCAATATCTATAGATTTCAGCCCATAAATTTGTCAGTTTTTAATATTTTTGGAGGTAAGCTTAAATTGCACATTCTTTACGAATAACAGCTCAATATCTATTTAACTTTGGATTCTGTGGTCAAATGATGGCCAGAAATGAACAAAATCGCCCATATCTCAGTTCGCGATATTTGCGACACTGAATTCGCTCAAAACAATAACTAAATCAGCTTTCAATATTTTTGCATGAAAATTTCAAAATCAACGTAGAATCGTATTTCAATCTTAAGTTTTGGAGTTGAATTTTGAGTTAGGCCTTTTTTGCTGGCTAATTTCAGAATTTTGCCGCCAAATTTGTGTAAAGGTGCATTTTAACGTGAAAACCTGAATAACGGACAAACAAAATAATAACATTTCCTGGATTTTAATCATATAATGTCATATGCATGAATCATGACCAAAGGCATAATCATAACATTGTATCCTACATAGCACGCGCCATGACTACAATACCGTAACCAGGCCATGACTACAATACAGTAACCATGACTACATGACCGGCCACGAACACAACGGCAGACAATTGAAGCTCATAAGTCTGTTTCATAATTGATCTTCAAATGTGTGGTGTACTTTTAAAAAACAATACGGAGTGAGGACATTTTGGTATCTTGATGCAATAAAAACAAAAAGTTATTCTTAACAGTCATAAATAATATATCAGATGTTATCAAGAAACTTTGCAGCCAAGACTGCTCTCTTCGCGTATATCAATTCTGGTGTTTACGCATCTAATCTTTGTTAAGTCGCCATACAGTTCCATTTGGATCAGGACCAGCAGTTGGTTCATTTGGATCAGTTGGATCAGGACCATCAGAGGGTTCAGGTAGATCTGTTGGGTCGGGACCTGGGTAAGGACTGGAACGACTCGATATGGGGTTAATAACCAGAACAACCAATAGACAGCCGAGAAGTTGCATTGTACTAAAGGTTTGAACTATCGCAATCTGTAAAGGTAACAAAAAACCTTGTCCTCCGATTAATATGCTGTGGATTTTGTTTCTGTGGCTTGCCTTTAAATCCTATGTCAGTGAAAGTTAGAGAGTGGCAGATGGCTATTTATTGTAAAGAGAGGAGGAGGAGGAGGAGGAGGAGGAGGAGTAACCTGATTAAAATAGGAGATTCACCTTCTGAAGTTGTTAGACAGCTGTCCTCCAGCTTTAGAAAAGTGTGATATTTGTTTATTATTCTGCATCTTGGTAATGGTAATTACAGAAGTAGTTAAATTAGATTTAATCCTCATATAATGGGACGATTTTATAACATTTCCGCCATAATCTAGAGAAGAGAATTATTGAAGCAGCCGTATTTTTGTTTAGCGGTTCTATTCTCAATAGACGTGTGAAATTCTTCGGCCTCGGTGAGCTGCGGAACGATTTTTCTAGTACGATCTAATCCTCGCAGAAATGTGTCTTCAAGTTGGAGCTTGGAATAGAAACGATCCTTATTCCTAAAACTGAGTTTAGAGTACAGAGATTGAATTCTGAGGCCTGTTCAATAAGCAAACGAGTGATGACTTTTATGCTTTTGAAATCTAATGGTTACGGATTGTTTACATGTTAGGCAGCCCCACTAGGGGGATGGGGTTTGGAAACGCTTTTAACGAATAATTGGATCTAAGATGGCCGATATTTTTGTTTAAAGGTTCTAATCTTAATAAATGTGTGAAATTCTTCGCTTAACTTCCGCTTAGCTGCGACACGATATTTTCTAGTTCAAGGTAAGATTTAGTCCTCACAACGGTTTGTGTTTAAGTTTATGCATACTCCCGACTCCGACTCGATAGTCTGTGAAGTATACTAGTATTATAGTCATCTGCTGTTTTGATTACAGAAACTGAACTCTGAGGCCTGTTCGAAAAGCTATTACATAGTTACTTCTAGACTTCAATTCTAAATACATAATGCAATGAAACACGAAAATTAATTTGTAATGCATAATATTCTATCAGTCGAAACCATTTTCTTCTCGATAACCAATCCATTTAGCATTTGCCGCAGGTCTTCATACAGAGTTTTTCCTGGTATTTGCAAATCCAATCTTTCTGAATTTGGCACTGACGAGTGGCAGCTATATCTTTGCATTCGGGATCAGGGCCATCTGTAGGGTTGGGGCCATCTGTAGGGTTGGGGCCATCAGTAGGATCGGGTTTAGGAGCGTCAGTTGGTTTGGGGTCTGGACCGGAACCACTCAAGGTGATAATAGCAGAGTGTTTGTACAGACTGCAATTGTCATGGTTTCTTGCCATGTAGACGTAGCCGCTGCTTCCCCAACTAGCTCCCCAGCTGTTTTTAATCATAAACTTTTCGCTGTTGAATCCGACCATTGTAACGGCGTGGTTGGCTTGCCCTCTGCAGCTATTGTCCTTGAGAACTCCACTTCGGTACTGTTGGCAAGCACTTGTCACTTCGAAAGCGACAGCAATAGGTCCTCGGGTTAGTCCACTCATGTGACCGGACTCGGATGCTGGAACAGCATATTGTCCTGTCACTTTAGCCTTCAAACCGTTAGCTTTTCCTCCGTAGTTGCAGGATCCATCTCTACCTCTGTAGCTGACTGCACTGGAAGGGGCCAGACGCTGGGTTTTCTGCATTAAAGTAAAGCAGTCCTGCATCCATCCACCTTGGCATCCATCTCGTTTGCCCTCGTAGACGCAATCCAGAAGTTCCTGCTCAGCGAAGGTTACCAGTGATCCGGTTTCTTTCTTGTGGACTCCTTCAATACTGCCCACAGCACCGAATGTCCAGCAAGATCCACAGCTTCCTTGGTTCTTCACTCCAGTGACACCTCCTTTCTGCCTCCAATCAATAGGCCCAGCCAAGGGTGCATCAGAGGGAGGAAGTTGTGCTCCAACAGGGTGTTCCATGGAAGAGTTGAATCCCAGGTATTGTTTCTTCTCATCCTCAGTGAGGTCAGAGAAGAAGTTTAGTCCAGCAGTCCATCCCAGATCCTGCTCGTTGGTTTCTACAACCTCCTGTACGTTCTTCCGGAACAGTCTGAATCTCAGCTTAGCTTCGTTAGAGTCGTAAACTCTTCCTTGCTCTGACTCGAAGTGGTTAAAGAGTTTGGCCATTCCTGCTGGGGACTGCAGAGCATTCCTGAGAGGGTCCGCTGCACTTGCGAGTGCGAGAGTTGCTAGAAGGAAGATCATCTTTAGTTAGTCTTACTGATGAGAAACTGTGTTTTGTGCTCTACTTTTATAGATGACTGAAGTTCAAATTCAGGTGGTCATATGGTAAAGTGTGAATTTAGTTATGAAGTACAATTCGGGAGTAAAATTAAATTAAATTCGACAAAATTAGTTTTAAACTTTTGAAGACCAAAGAATCATCACGTGGTTAATTCTGTAAATTAAATTCTTTCCACTGATTTTCAGCTGATATACTTAGCACCTCGTTTACTATGAATTTGATAAGTCGTTGTTACTGAAACGTTTCAAACAAAGTCAATTTGAATGCAGAAAATTTTACAAATCTTTGATAAGACTTTAAGATGTTGAATTCTGTAAAGGTAAACCCGCAGGAAATTCAATTAGTTACATCTAATTCTAATTTAGTTCCATTAATTACAAATTGGATTAGTCGTTGTTACTGATTGGACATTTGAAACGTTTCAAACAAAGCCATTTTAAAATTTTACAAATCTGTATGAAGAATTTAAGATTCTGATTTATTTAGCTGAATCTAATGTTGGGAAAATCTTTTTCAAGGGTACAGTTTACCGCATTAAGGTATTTTTAAGAATCATTTTTGTCGGTAAGATCCTGTTTTATAATAATAATTCTAATTTAAGATTGTAGATCGGATTTACGGAACTTTGCACTCACAAACTGTTACAATAATTTGTCTTAGAATCAAAAAAGCTGAATATTCCAACAAAAAGCTGAATATTCCAACAAGAACCCCACAATGGACAATCAAGAATAAGTTAATTGATTACGTCTGCAGGGTGGTTGAACTCCCACTTACACCTGGATTTAACGCTTCCGTCAGTAATGTGCATTTCTATATCCCGATATTCCCCTTAAATTAATTAATTATTATTAATTTATCCATCTCACTGCTCAGGAGGGTGTTGACGCAGAGTTTGCTCTGGTAGTAACAGGATCCACACTGAGATCCTTAATAACACCTTAGTAACACCTTAGTAACACCACTGTTCAGGAGGATGTTGACGCAGAGTTTGCTTTGGTAGTAACAGGAACCACACTGAGGTCCTTAGTAACACCTTAGTAATACCTTAGTAACACCTTAGTAACACCTTAGTAACACCTTAGTAACACCTCTGCTCAGGAGGGTGTTGACGCAGAGTTTGCTCTGGTAGTAACAGGATCCACACTGAGGTCCTTAGTAACACCTTAGTAACACTTTAGTAACACCTCTGTTCAGGAGGGTGTTGACGCAGAGTTTGCTCTGGTAGTAACAGGATCCACACTGAGGTACGCCCTGGAGGAGAGTTTGAAGTACACATTCCTGGATCTGGCTTTACAGTGTGCTGCTGTTATTTGCTGCAGGGTTACTCCTCTTCAAAAGGTACTGTCACAATATGTGACTTATATATTGTGTTTTTTGCTCGTGATATCTATATGTTACTTAGTAACACCTTAGTAACACCTTAGTAACACCTTAGCAACACCTTAGTAAAACCTTGTACCCTGCACATCAATGTCTCCTTCCTCAGGCGTTGGTAGTAAGACTGGTAAAGAACTTCAAACCGAATAAGAGTGATGATGATAACATAACACTTGCTATTGGAGACGGTGCTAACGATGTCAGCATGATTAGAGGTATTGGTAACACCTTAGTAACACCTTAGTAACACCTTAGTAACACCTTAGTAACACCCTAGTAACACATTAGTAACACCCTTGCTATTGGAGACGGTGCTAACGATGTCAGCATGATCAGAGGTATTTGGTGTTTTGATTCACTTTCAGGTTGCGACTTTAAACTTAGTGCTGATATTCCCAGGTAAATAAATGAACAAATTGATTAAATGACACCGTCTCGGTCAGTAGATCAGTATCGACACAACTCATATTACTAAACACTTAACAGTGTATTATAAAAATCTAATTTGAACGTTATCCCCCTCCAGAGGCTCATATCGGAGTGGGAATAAGCGGAAAAGAAGGAATGCAAGCAGTGTTAGCCAGTGACTTCTGTTTCGCTCAATTCAGATTCCTTGAGCGGCTCATCCTGGTCCACGGTCACTGGAGTTACATCAGAATGTGCAAATTCTTGAGATATTTCTTCTTCAAAAACTTTGCCTTCACCCTAGTCCAGCTGTTCTACGCTCCGTTCTGTGGGTTCACAGCTCAGACCATATTCGACCCTCTCTACATTACCCTGTACAATGTGGTGTTTACTTCTATGCCCGTCATGTTGGTCGGGATCATGGATCAGGAACTGAGCGTGGAGAATGCTCCCCCAGAAGTCTACGAGGTAAGATCAGAGTCTGATCATCAGACTGCGTGGATAATTATTAGCATAATTATTAGCATAATTATTAGCATAATTATTAGCATGATTATTAGCATAATTATTAGCATAATTAGTGGATAATTATTAACAGATTCCTTTTTTAGCTCACACTTCGCATATGTCTAATGGTGTCGTTTTAAGTCTACCCGTTGGCTCTAATCTTAAATTGTAGTTTTAGTTGAATGTGGGAATAATTCATAGATGATTTTACCGAAGTAACACCCCACAATTACATCTAATTCAACTCCATCCTCTCCCCAGGTGGGTCAACTAAACCAGCTGTTCAACAAGCAAGCGTTTGCTCTGTCTGGCTTCCACGGGTTTGTGGTTGCAGCAGGATGTCTGTTCATCCCCTACCAGATGTTCGCTCAGAGTATTAACATTGACGGTCTGGACCAGCAGAGCATGTACTTTATCGGCACTGCTATCGCCGGTATCGTCACCATAGTTGTCAACTTCCAGGTAAAATTCGTCCTGACTTTCTGTATCTTAACGTAATTTTGACCGTGAAATCTGAATTGTTGTAACTGTATTTCTAGCTCATTAAAAAGCTGGCTGTTTTGTTGTCTCCTCCTAGAATAAAGTTCCTCAACACCCCCTCCCATTACCAGGTAGCCCTGGAAACCACACTGTGGACGGTTTATAACCACATCCTCACCTGGGGAAGTATAATCTCCTGGTTCCTTCTCTTCCTCGTCATCTGCTCCCCCTTCGCATTCCACATATCCCCTGATCAGTTCTCTTACTTTGACGGGGTGAGCGAGATTGTGATTTATTAGAATGTTTTACTGCATCAGCATTGAAGTGTTACTTCGATGGAATCTGTTCCAATTTTACTTTATTCTACAAGTTTAAACTAGTTTCATCAGGTAATCTTCCTCATTGTCCACTAACCTGAACCCTTTACCCCAGATATACAGAGTAGTACAGACGAGGATATGGTGGCTAACAATGTGTCTAACCCTGGTCATATGCCTCTTCCCCTTCATAGGATACAGATTATATGTAATCCTCACCCAACCCACCCTACTTCAAGAAGTTGTGGTAAGTAACAGTATTCATTCCTCTACAATTGTGCATACTAAAAACGTACTAGAACGTTCCATGCAGTCTGTTAATATGTTCTTGCTATTCAGTCACCAGAAATAGATTTACTAACTTCTTTCCGATCATTCCAGACTGCTACTTTCTAATTTTAATTTTTAACCGTAAGATTTGGAGGTTTAAGGTCAGTTCGTTCTATAATTAATTCATACATTGAACCTTAACCTAAAATGAATATGTTACTGCCGATCACTGTTGAGTGCCTTACTACTGTTGAGTAATGAGTAATATGTAGTACCAAAGTATCTTCGCCTCTATATTCAGTTGCCAGCCTCCGTGCAGTATCACACCACTGTTTTACTGCTTCTCTGCTTCTCAGTTCGTCGCCACAGTAATGAAATAAGCCACTGCTTCCTGCTTAGTAACCACGGTAACCAAAGTACAAACTCAGCTCACTTTAATCAAGTTATGTAGCCTGTCTGTCATGTGTCAGTTGGTGGAGTTGAGGAGGAGCACTGTATTGGACACAGCCACCTCCCTGAGCTAAACAGTTGGGGAGTCGGCCGCACGTTTTGCTTGCGAAACGTTTGAGTTCTGGCAGAAGCAGAATTTCGGCACTACAGTGTGAACTTCTCACGTTTTTAAGGAATGTTCAGATCCACTGCACAGCTTCTCTGTTCCAGTTGTTAAATTCCCTTGCTTTATCTCAATTTTGATGTGGTCGTTCAATTTCACCCGCAGTTTATTGTTACTAATATGATATGTAGCAAATATGATATGTAGCAATTATTTGAGTTTTAATACTTTCAACACTACTACATATATAACAAATAATTTGAGCATGAATACGAAGTTGTTACTTTGAAACGTCGTTTATCCTAACAGTGCAGTATCATTTGTCGCAAAAATCAGAATAATCAGAAATTATTTGGAACTGCCAAAAACTGCCTATAATTATTTAAACGTTTGTTAACCGATAATGGCATTGGCTTATAATCGTTTCTGTGAAGTGTTAACAGTTATCTCTGAAGTCTGAACAAACTAGTAGTCACGATTATTGAGCTTAGCTTCTTATAATCTACAATTATTGAGCTTCTTATTCATTTTTCGAGGGTGTCTAATGTCTATCCTTATAGCTAGACAATTATCATTGCTGAAATTATCTGTATACTGTTCGAAGCATTTTATACTTGTAATAAATGTTATGTGATATTATGTGTATATTGAGCTTCTTATAACTAATCTTTAGTTAAGATTTGTTTCGATAGATATGTTCTTCTGGTGCACTAAAGTCACTGAGTATATTGACGACCATCTGCTTATACACAAGGTTTAAGTTAATTATTGTGATGTTCCAATTTAATAGTTTAAGATTTTGCCATATTGTGTGGCAGATTAAGATTAACCCCTGAGATCGCTGAAAACTGCTCCCCCTCCCTCTCATTTAATATATTTCTTGGCATCTCTTAATTTGAGCGCCAGATGTTGCGGGACTGTTTCAAAAGCCTAGTTAATTTGATAAAACCATACTTAAACGGTGTGAATTTTATTATTAAATTTTGAGTAGTAAAAGTAGTCATGATTAAATATTTAAGTAACTTTCGAATGTTTCAGTACAACATAGAAAAAGAGAAAGTATCAAAGTTAACAACACTCACAAAGACGTTAAAAGCTCCCTTAAAAGAGATTGCAGATAGTATCCCATTACATTTACATCAAGGTCACAAAGGAGGTAAGAACAATCTTGCTAGTCGGTAATTAACTAGTCGGTGATTAACTAGTCGGTAATTAACTAGTCGGTAATTAACTAGTCGGTAATTAACTAGTCGGTAATTAACTAGTCGGTAATTAACATTTGTTTTTGGTATAACTGTAGCTAATTTAGTAAAGGTGATTGATTTAAATACAAGATTCAAATAGTTTAATGATTCATGGAAAAATCGAACAAAAAAGCGAATCATTGTATTCTATTTGTAATTAACTTGTCCACCAGGCCACGCCCTGTACGCCACAAAAAGACAACAGAGTCGTAAAGACCTGTTCGGCAAACCGTCTTCAGCTCAAGCCAGTACGCGAGGGTACGCCTTCGCTAGTGGTGAAGGGTACGGTCGTAGGATGATCGCTGGCGGAGAAGCCATGGTTCAGGTTCGTACTTTTTTATTTTTGAGAACTTAAGATAAGAAATTTCAAATTTAGTGAGACAATGAAATTTAGTTAGCTTGGTTTCAGTTTCTCTTAGATTTTATTAAATGATCAAGATTCAAGCAAACTCAGTAGACAAATTATAAGACGTCCGTCTTTAATATCAGTAATACGAAGTCTTTACCACGCGTGACGTCATGTTATGTACGATGACGTCACGTTTTTAAAGCGTGACGTCACGTGATCCTTATCAAGAAATCACGTGATCATTTCCAAACATGTAGGGATTACGACGTAGTTCAGAAAACAGTACTGATAGTATATTAGGGCCGTTCGTGGTGCGATCTAACCCTTCATCTACTAGGGTGACTATAAGAACTGCTAGTTGTATCGCAGTTTTAATCCTCTGCTCCGCGCTCATTCTTTACACACTGTCCACAGGGCTCACATTTTCTGGAGTGCTAATTGAGTGCTAATTGAGCGCTAATTGAGTGCTAATTAGTTGCTTATCATCTGATGTTATATTTCAGGTGTTTTCCACTCCTTGTTCACCCATTAAGTCAAGACTCACCAACTTCAAGTTCTGACATTTTAAAATAATAGTGATACTTTTTAAACCTAAAATTTGATTTTGAATGTTGGGTTGGTATGTTCAAACTTGAAACAGACCTTTTTTTACAAAATGCGTTGAGAATAAGTATATTGGGTATCATCTGGATTATATAGTCAACTATCAACAGTGTTCATCGTTATGCTATGTTCGGTTAAATCTTCGCTATAATTTTGCTGTTATCCGTTGTTTTCGCTACCATTCCGTTTCACGGCTGAAGATATGTTCGAGTACATAATACAAACTATTATATAGTGTACACATTATAATACACACTATTATTTGTAAAATCAAGGTCGAGTTTTTGGGAACACAAAAAATCTGAACTACAGCAGTGAGCAGGAATTAAATGAAGATAAAAACCTTGCCCACATTATTACCAAAATGTTTATTCACACGACTGTATTAACAAAATGGTAACTCAAACTGTCCTTAATTACACGATCTAACCCTGTCTCCATCCAGATAAAGCGACAAGACACGCGGCATCTCCCCTCCCAGATAGTAGACGTGGAAGGAGAAGATATCCAGCTTCCAATGCCAGTCAACGTCAGACCTAGATCAGGCTCAATGAGGAGCTCGACCAAACGAGCACAAGCTAGTCGAGTTGTTACCGTCGATTGAGAAGTAGGTGACGTGGTGTGACGTCACGTGACATTTGTGTCGTCACGGTGGTGACGTCATCAGTTGTGTACTGGCGATGTATCAGATCTTTACTACTTTGTAAGATGTAAGATTTTAGACTAGCAAAGTTTTAATCTAGGTATTATCACAATGATGGAATGGACAGAGAATTTCAACCCTAGTCAGAGAGCCTTTATTAGGAAGAATCAATAGATATTTAGGAGTTCTAGTTGATAATTCTAATAAGTTTTGTTTTTGTTTACTCATATTTATAGTGAAAATTTACAGATTAAACTCAGAATGTTAGCGCGGATGTTTTATTGATATTAAGTGAAGTCGAGGTTATGGATCGTAAAGGTTTGAATTTTAGTTAGCGAGTTTCCTAGGACTGAAGGTTTAACGATGATTATGCCTTACAAACTAAGCGCAAGCTTTGGTCCAGGTGACTAAAATCTTTATGATATAAGGCCATAGTTATGTTTCCTGAAATTTTATAATTAGATGCTCAAGGTGACATTAATAGAAGCAAGGCTAAATTCTAGAATTTAAGTATCCCATTTAAAGGGAACTTAATTTGTTATGTTCGTTTTAGTTTAAATTGTTTACAGTGTGCGCACAGTTTAGAAATTTATTAATAATTAACATACAGCTTTCACAGTAATTGTCTAATTACAATTTGATATAACAAATTTTGAATAACATATTTAATGATATTTGCGTTTCAGTTTACTTTCCAATAAAATATCTCCCATATCAAACGTCATCCTGCTTTAACTTTAAAAATCTTCTTCACAAATCACATTCAATGAAAATCAAATCTGAATATTAATTAATTTCACCATTAAATCTGAATATTATCCGTAACCCGCCCTGGTTGCCCATTTCACCCACCTTTAACCACACAATTTCTTCAAGTTTAACAGCATACTCAATATAGTAACAACAAGTGCAGTCTGACACCATTATGGCACATTTACCAGTTTACCCCCCGTTGTCGTGGTTACCAGACTCGCTACCATCTCCCTCTGCATGCTCATCACTACCCTCCAAGGTAGAGTTGCTCTCAACCTCCACCTCCTTAGACTCCGTACAGTTCGCATCTTGAGTTCCCTCTACTGGCTCTTCAGTAGCTACTGTTAGGGTGGCGGAGTTCCGTCCGTCGCTTTTAGGAAACATCCAATCGCTGACAACTATTGTGAAGAAGATGAAGGCGATGCCTATGAGTATGGTAGTTGCTGCTCCGATAAAGGCCACATCGTATCGGTCCTTGATCCTCTCCCAGTATTTCCATTCCATGTCCTAGTGAGATGGGAGTTATCACTTTTTGTCTCAGAAGCAACTGCGAGACATTTAGATAAACGAATAAAATACGACCATAAACATTACCAAATTTAACCAATCTGTCTAATCCAATAATTGTGGGAAAAGGAGACGAATAGTCGGAAGGTCAGGAAAATATCAGTAAAGCTACGGGCAGAAGCTGCTGACTGGACATGAAGACTATAACATAAAGCGGGGTTCCTGATACTTCGGATCGTGTCTCCGTCTAGGTTTGACGTTGTAAATTTAGCATGGCCACTGAATATCAAAAATTACACAAAATCTGGGCTCTGCATATAAGAGTACCAGAGTAGAGTCTGGGTTTTGCTTTGACATTAAAAACCGGAAGGTTCAAATAGTAATCCAAAGTATGACCGAAGAGTAGCTAACCTATGCTCCGTTGCGGGCTGCGGCATTGCATGAAAGAATCAATAAGTTCAAGAATCAAGGAGCGAGACGTAAAGATTATATCTCAAACTATACTTTTATAACACTGTTATAATGAAGACGAATTTACCTGTTATTAACAGGTAAAATTCATTCGTCTTGTCATTAGCAAGCCAGCGTTGAATACTAACTTATCCAGTTTCATAAAACTGTGTTTTAGGACGCGTAACCGGCGGCACACGCTTGTAACCGGCGGCACACGCTTGTAACCGGCGGCACACGCTTGTAACCAGCGGCACACGCTTGAAACCGGCGGCACACGCTTGTAACCGGCGGCACACGCTTGTAACCGGCGGCACACGCTTGAAACCGGCGGCACACGCTTGAAACCGGCGGCACACGCTTGTAACCGGCGGCACACGCTTGTAACCGGCGGCACACGCTTGTAACCGGCGGCACACGCTTGTAACCGGCGGCACATGCTCGTAACCGGCTTCACACGCTTGTAACCGGCGGCACACGCTTGTAACCGGCGGCACACGCTTTTAACCGGCGGCACACGCTTGTAACCGGCGGCACATGCTCGTAACCGGCGGCACACGCTTGAAACCGGCGGCACACGCTTTGTACAGTCAAACCCACGATAGTGAACTACTACTTGGGAGTTGCATAACTATATGACTATAGACATTGTCACACGGTCACGAGACTCAACAGTTTTCGTCAAGGCCTCTCATGCACCTTGAACATATTTTGAGCTATATTTATGGTATCCACATACAAACAGTAACGATAATACCACTGCTTTTAGCGTGGCAGCTGCCATATTGAAGAGGTAAACTCTACAGAGCTGAAGCATTTCAAGAAGATCTTGGCAACCTGATGGTAGAGATGAAGTTTCTCTTAAAATCAGTAGGCATCACGTTATGCCCATACAAGGAGTGTATACTACACGTGATGCCCATTTAAGGAGTGTATACTACACGTGATGCCCATATAAGGAGTAGTAGAAGTATATGCCTTCGCAATGTGACGTGTGCAGAACTAAAAGTATAGTTTGATCATGTTGTTTGAGATAAGCTTACAAACTCGATAAAAATCTGGGTTAACTGGAACAATTTGAATGTGTGACGTGTGTTGTCATGGCGACCACTCATGTCTCTCATGGCGACCAATCATCATCCTCAGTGTTTCAGTTAGACTAGAATAAATACTAAATAGTCTGATTTGGACAAATAGTAAATAGCCAATTACTGGTTCCTAATAACAAATATATTGACATTTGACATTTGAAAGTCTGGACATTAATCGTAGATGTGACTCTGATGGTAAAATTTAACAATGCCCAACTCCACAGTAGTAGAAGTATAACCATGGTTACCATACTTACTCCCCAAAGTAACCTCTCACGTACCTAGGGGTGCAGTGAGCATCACGAATAACATGCAAACAAAGGCCGTGAAACTGAAAGGATTAAGAGTGTACTATCCGGATTGGAACAATATTTATCAGTCGCATATTATTATTATGTTGTAATTAGTTTAATTGTTCGATTAAATGTCTGGTATTCACGTTGTTGCGAGAAAGTAAAGGAGCTATACTGCTCTTTTGAATGAAGGTAAATAGTCGACGTTTCGATGTTACTAATATCATTACGTTTTCAAATTATTTGTTATATTAAAGTTATTTAAAGTGTTGAAAGTATTAAAAGTGATACTTTCAACACCACATAAGTATAACAAATAATTGAGAACATATTCAATTTCAGTCACATCGAAACTATTTAGCTTCTTCTTTGTTGCAGCGACACGAATAAGGGGTCATACATCTACTTAGGACGTCCGGCAAATAGGAGGGGGGTGGGTTATGAAAATCCGGACGTCCGGAAATTTTGGCAGAATTAACGAAGAAGTCCCATTTATTTCAACTCTTTGACACTAATTACTCTGTTAGATCACTGTATTTTGAACGAGAAGTCGATTCCCAGAGCAGCTCATGAGAGCCGAGACACAACTCTTATATTATCCTAGTCCTACTGCCTTAAAACTTATTCGATTGGATGGCTACTTAAGTACTTCTATATTAAGTTTAGAACAGTTACTTAATGTAACTGTGCTAAACTTGTTCGACACTAAATGTATTATTGTCTATTTGTATTATAAATAACTACACTGACACATTCTATTAGTATTAACAATGAATTTGAGTTGGTTTTAATTGTACTCTTAAAAATAGTTGGTTTTGAAAATTCGGACACACCCAGACAGGGGGAGGGGAGTGGCCTGAGAATCTGCGATTTTGGCCGACGTCCTAACTCCTAAGTAGATGGCCTCTAAGTAGATGGCCCCTATGAGGCTATGAAAAGAAATTCGAAAAGTTGTCAAAAGACTAAAGACAATGCATAGGACCGTGAAACTGGAAAACATTTGTATCAGCAAAATTGCCATGCTACATAAATATCTTCTTTCGTAACTTTAAGTTCATGTCTCCTGGCAATCTCCAAATCAATTACCTGGGGACCCCAGGCTATTATGTTCATAAATAGAATAGAGATTCGGTGGAATGACAGGCTGGGCGCCGCCCAGTAAACAATCATCAGCTAACAAGCAGCCACAGAAGTAGATACTCTTGTTTAGGATAATGATAATGAGAGAAAGCAACCGCAACAAATACTGTGGTCCATTTAAGTATGACATGAACAGAGGCCTTAAATAATCACGAGCATATACATTTCGCTTGACGTAGCTCCTCACCTATATTTACTTAATCTCTCCCGGGAGAGTATGAGTGCGGTTGGTTCAAATGTTTGGTAGATGGCAGCTTCACATAGCCATGAGTCTACGCGCTTGTTAGGCGGTCGCGCGCTACTGCAAGCGAGAGGGCTCTGGTTAGAGCAAGATGGCAGCCGGCCATGACGCCTGACATCTTATTCCTGACGTTCACGACACAATGCAGAATATCATGATGCTAGTCATGATGAGCATGCACTTTACTGGCCACTTTGCTGAGCACATGGCCACTTTGCTGGCTTAGTTAAACGTAAAATAGATAAAGTTACAGTCCGTAAACAGCTTTATATACTAGGTCTAAGTTTGCAGCGCTTTTTAAATGTCGGAAGGTCTCCTGCCGGGACAGAAGTGAGGGAGAAAGGAGGCGGACCAGAGCATTGCTCACTTTGCTCAATTAACGTAAACTTAGACTGATTTAAAATCTATTCGGCTGATAAAATCAGTATAAATCAGTATTACGAATACGAGTGACTGCACAGGTTGAGCTAAATAATTTTGGGAAAATGTGACGTTTGAAATTTGAAATGAAATGAATCGAAATGAGGTATTTATATCTGCTCATAGGATTGTCAACACAAGGCTGGCTGTGAGTGATATAATAAGCAAATGAGAAATGTGAGAATAACTTGTGTAACTCAAAAAAGGCAAAGAAAAATTGAAATATCTTTTATTATGAACCACACAAAGATAACCACAAGTAACATCGGAAACCGTACAAGTTAAGGTACATTGTAGTACACTGTGACACTGTGACATTAATGATAATTGAGAACATAAAATACAGATCCTAGAAAAATAAAACCTATGACACCAAAAGGAGTGCGGAAAAAATAAAATCCTAGCTGTCTTATTAAAATGAGAAAAAATTGGGAAAAGAAAGACATCAAAACTGATTATGTAAATGGTTCTTTAACATTCGCAGTTAGTTTCCGAGCATCGGTAATGCATCGCAACATGAGTGGACTTGAGAGTTTTGGAAGATAACCACAAGTAACATCGGAAACCGTACAAGTTAAGAATGTAGTACACTGTAACAGTGACATTAATGATAATTGAGAACATAAAATGCAGATCATAGGAAATTTGGAAAAAGAAAGACATCATAACTGATTATATAAATGGTTCTTCAACATTCGCTTGAAACAGTTAGTATCGGTAATACATCGCAACATAAGTGGAAGGGAGTTCCATGAAACCGGTGCATGACTTGAGAAATAAAATTAAGTTTTAATTATTAATTAATGATTATAATTTACCAAACCATATTTTGTTAAATTCGAATGTTAAGCACAGTGCCTTCTCAATTAAATCTAGGCCACAGGATATATTAATTATACCGGATACGAAATGATTAAAAGTGTTACTATACCATGTTTACGCATGCCACGGAATAACAGACACGTTGTTAAATTCCAAACTTTCATTTCACAATGAGTTTTATTATATTAAATTGATGTAAATTAAGTAACGAAGTTATCATTGAGAATGTCTTCAGACATAATCCTATTTTCATATACTTCTCGGGAGAAATGTTATGAAATTGTACCTGTAAAGCTCTGAATCACTTTTAGCACCTGGATATAGCAAGTATTACCACACTACTTTCCGTTTAGGATGCGTAGAAATAACAGTATTGAACGGCTAAGCAACCTTACACTCCAAATTAACAACAGACCAAGTACCTGAACTACTCAAAAATAAAATATATAACTTGCACTCCCGTTCATCACACAGGGAGAGCTTTACTCTTAACCCTTAATGTTTTTCACAACTACTAAAATAAAATATATAACTTGCACTCCCGTTCATCACACATCACCATTACACATACTCAGGGGGAGTTTTAGTCTTGGAATTTGATGTTTTTCACAATAGTTTCATGTATCATTTCCTTCTAATGTCAAGTAATAATGTAGATATACTACAATTATACTACAAGTACAATACTCTTCCTCACATCAAAGCTTCACCTAGCGAGTCATGTGATACATGGTGACTAAGAACAAGGTTTCTAGTTAACTTGGAAACAAGGTTTCTAGGATCTCCTAACAGGGCACCACTGCTCTTGTTAACTATGTTACCATGGAAATGACCCCTCCCGTCATATCAACATTGGTATGACTGCCTCATGACGTCCATCTCTGCTCTCTGCTCCTATTCATGGTATGTCATAACCATGTCTTTTATTCTATTCACTATTGTCTGATCTTTTTGTTCTTTCACAATTTGGTTTTGTTCACGTTTCGGTACAAAGGAATGCTTGAGGCTTGCTTTAAATATAGATGGGGGTGTCGTCATAAAGGACCATTGTAAGGATTAAGGACATATAACCTATTGTTGTCATTTTAACATAGTAACTGTTCTGCTTTGGTTCTGGTTACTACTGAAATTTAAATTTCTGATCGCTGCTTATCGTGGTTGTTTGTATATTTTTGCAGTAAGTCGGAACTCGGAGCTAAGATAACTTTTAGTTCTTAATTTTAGTTGCCCTATTTTCAGTCTTCTATTATTAGTAGGGTCGTAATTACATCAGTGCAAATTACACTGAAAAAGTACTGTAAGCAGGAAAATAAGATTGTAAGGAGAAGGATCAAATTTAAAATACTGGAATGACATAAACTTTGAATTCTGAGGAAGAATCTTTGGAAAAATATTGTGGACTATAGTACAACTACAAGCATATTCTGACAATCAATTTATCCTTTGAACTCTACGTAACAAACTCATTACTCAATACTAATAGGGACGGAAGAAGTAAGTAATACGTCAGTAAGAGGTTACTCAGAATATGAAGAAGTTTGTGTTATGTTGCCTGGTTGTTGCTACGGTGTTCTGTCAAAACTCAGACGGAAATGAGGAGGAGGAGGAGATGAACGTTAGGAGGGAAGTACAGTATCTTAACGTTGCTCAGGGTTCGTTTAATTCTTATTTTACTGTACTGCTCTCAGTCACCTAAACGTTTTATCAAGCTGAGTACTCAATCACATTCTCAGTTATTTTACCGTCGCCTTGCAATTTGCAACAATAAAACTCTCTTGCTATAGTTAAAAGTTAGATCAACTCGCTGCTCCTTATCGTATACAGGACTAATATACATTATACATAATACATATATATATATATTAATTATTATACATTATGCATTATACATGATTTATTTAATTGGCAGGTAAGCCAGCCACATCGTCCCCTGTCGGTTGGAATGGAACTCCAGAGAAGGCGAATGATGGCAAAACAAGCGGCAGATACCACGAGTAAGTTTTAATTAATTGATTAAATTAATTAATTAAATATATATGATCTTACTTTAGTTTGGTTTGTGCGATAGTTTTCAGCGGTATCGTTGACTTCATCTTAATGCAATGTCTTTAATATTAATAGTAGCCTTATATTTAATACTATGAGTTATATCACAATGTGTAAGAGGGAAAAACCAAAACGGGGGCTAATGTCAAATAATCTAAATGTCCGCAACGCTGTTGTACTTATAAAATATCGTCCCACCAATCATTAGCGTCTCAAACAGACAGAAAACCTTTAAACCATTAATATTTATTATGTCTGCTGCCGTTTTCCATGAATTTTTGGATCGCTCCAAGTCTAAGAAATTTAGTCCAGCCTTTAATAATTTTTACTTGCACTGAATTCGCTTTTCGTAGACACAGCTGAATTGTTGAAATGTCTTTCGTCCACTATTGATCCTATGTTCCGCGGAATGCGTCGTTAGTCAGGTCACGACAGGACTCTAACTTTCACAATACTATTTAAACATTTAACTAACGTAACTCTAACCGAGTTCAGAGATGCTGTGATCTAGAGTATGCATATTTTTAGAAACAAAACGACAGACTATACTGAGTTGTAGGAACGTGTTTTGGAATTTGGAAAGCGACCAACAATTATATGTAAAGTCTGACAGTAAAATGAGCGATTTAAGCTGATGGAACCAAAACCTTTCGTAGACATTACTGAATTTATTTGAACAGGTCTTTAGTGTAATATTGATGTTCATTGTTTCGGCCACGACAGGACTCTAACTTTCACAATACTATTTAACTAACTCATAACTGAGAACAGAGATGCCAAAAGATGCCTATTTTTAGAAGCTAAACAATTTTAAAGCATTTGATCTGGGGAACCACCGAAACAGCATTAGTCTAATGTAAGTTTTCCAGCCCGGGACGCTTTGCCCCAGTGCACTCTAGCTCAGGATGCTTTGCCCCAGTGCACTCTAGCCCAGGACGCTTTGCCCCAGTGCACTCTAGCTCAGGACGTCTGACTCCTCGACATTAGGCCCTACTTTCATGCCAAATGACTTCTTCATTCTTACCCCGCTCTATTTACGTCAATGTGACCGAGAACCAATTAAAAAAACAACCCATCAATTTCTAAACGGGGACTTTAATGGGTGGTAGAGCATGAGTGACTTGGAGTTAGTGTCGATATAAATGGTGCTCGGACTGATATTTAATTTTATCACGTCATTGGCAATTAAATGTTAAAAGTAAAATTTCTACAATTATATTCAGTGCTACAAGTACAATTACAAGAGTTGAAAGGCTTTACGGCTTACGCATAACAATGTACAATGAGGCTACAACATTATTAACAATAAGCATTGGGGCAGTGTGTATACTGTTATAGCTCATCCCCTGGTTCCCTCTGATCAACAGCAAGAATTCATTTCATTCATATTCATCTGGTGGGTCAGCATGGTCTATCTCGTTCAGTTAACTAAATCAAGGCAGTAAGGTAGTACGTTTTCATGAAAAGTCGGGGTGAGATGTACCGAGAGCGGGAATTGAACCCTCCAGCAAGAATTTATGTTATATTCAATATCCCCTACTCCTGGATACAGTGCAGAAAACTCTAACTTGATAATAGACTGGTGCAGTCAAGGAGGTGGTCTGCAGATTGCGTGATGGCCGTGAAGATGTCTACTTCTAAACCTCTCAATAGGTTCAATAGGTAGGCTCAATCACAACTCTTCGGAAAACAACATAACAAAAAGTGCAATTCAAGAAAGATATGACTGATCGGACTCGAATTATAAGTAAATAATTTTGTAATCACTAATCAAAAGACAATCGCTAGACATGGTTATTGTAACGAAAAACAAAGAACAAGAAACCTGGCGTCTTATTTTCAGACCAGTTGGTAACAATAATGCTGCACGTGTAACAGAAATTCTTTGACCGGCCAGCAACCGATAGAGTTAGACAACTGTAAACAAATAATGGTCGCTGATAAACTGATCATTTGCAAGATAATAGCGCGGCGTAATGCCAGAATTTAGACATATGTTCACGTTTGTGAACATAGCTAACTAACTAATCATTACATTACCCGTTTAACGGCTGTAAAGTTAAAGGAGATGAGACTGTCAGTCGGTGAAGGAAACAATTACCTAGGTCGAAACGGCAAAGGTGAATTGTCTTTACTCTTTTGGTAGTTTACCAAAAGAGTAAAGACAATTCACCGCGAGATCATCTCTACCGTCCTAGTTTACTGAGTTCACGAAGTCAAACTCATAGTTTAATTATATTAATGATAGTTGGATAAACCTACACGTGGTATTAAAGGCGGCACACATCAGATTGGCGTTTCAAACGAATCCTGACGACTTCAAAACCCACCATCAAAACAGTGAGTGGCACACATCAAGTGTGGCTCAGCGACAAAAAGAAATCGCGGCATGTACGGAATCGCGATTTTCCCCATTATTTGCGACAAATTTTATGTATAGTCTGTTAAAATTCGCGGTATCGCGATTTTTGGCCAAAATAATCGCGAAATCCTTTTGTCCCTGGTGTGGCTGCGTGAGCGGGGAGACGTAGCAACGTTAATGAAAACACAGTACTATATGTGAGTGTCGTATGACAACGAGCCAATTTGCATCACAGTATATCAATTATCCTATATATCTACTCTCTTTAAAATTTCAACTCGTCATTAACATTCCGAGGATCGTCATGAATTAATTCCACCGTCGTTTGTTCGAGCATTAGAATATCAATATTTAGGATTATATTGAAATTTGGTGCGTCAACAATGTAAAATTCAGCGTACTGAGTCGTACAGTTGTTGGAAGTACAGAGATCGGCCTTGTTAACTGGATGATGATCGATTAAAAACATTTTGAATACCAATGAAAGATATAAGTTAAGAAGTTAGCCCATCGACGTCAAGTGTTTTTACTTCTGCTGGCTCGGTTCCAGGCTCGATGATATGGCCACTTTGATCTAAATAGTACAGTCAAGTACGTCCTAATTTAAGCCTTTGTCGGACAAAATAGTACAGTCAAGTACGTCCTAATTTAAGCCTTTGTCGGACAAAATTCGCTACAAATTTTAACGGGAAATGGTCGGGACAGGTCCCAGGAATTTATAGAATCTTGAAATTATAATTTATAAATATTATATATATTATATAAATAAATTTATTTATATAAATTATAATAACTGATTATAATAACCCGCAAAATTTTGACAATCAACTGTATATTACCATTAATTTACAGAATCTGATAACTTATTTAACCAATACAATGTTCGTACAGTGGCACGTGCACGCATGGTAACAGTGAGGGAGTCCAGTGGTGGGAGGTAGACCTGCAGGAGGTCTACAATATAGAGTATATTGAGGTCTACGGCAGAACGGACTGCTGCTCTGACCGACTCGAGGGTGCTAAGGTTAGTGGTGCTGTAAATTATTATGTAATAATATAATAAACTAAAATTCTTATGTAAGTGCTAAAGTTATAAATTATAATGTAAGTACCAAAGTTGTAATGTAAGTACTATAATTATAATTGGTGCTGATGTATAATGTGTGGGGTATAGGTGTCAGTGCGAAGGCGCAGAGTAGTAGTTACCATAGTTACACTACCATAGTTACACTACTAGTTACCATAGTTACACTACTAGTTACCATAGTCACGGATGCTAATACAATAGCATACGACGGATGAATCCTGAATATCCACAATGTAATGCATATTTATCACCTGAATTATTATACTACTAGCCTCAATAAGTTAATATTGAACACTTGTAATATACGTACCCCTTCTGACACCCCTGGAAGTAACCATCCTCTAAAAATAACCTGCCTCTAAAAATAACCTGCCTCTGAAAATAACTTGTAGGTTTATAATAACATAAACCCGCCACGCAAAGGGTTTATATAACAGATCATCCCGCGCTAGCAGGATGATCTGATAAACACATACGAGTGCGCGCAGCGCACGAGTTTTGTGTTAATATGTAATCCCGAAGCGCCAGCTGAGGGATTACATTTATTTAGCCCTGAGCGTGAAGTGTTTATGGATTATAATTATCCCCGGCGATTTCGACAAGGGATTTATACTTTAGAAGAGAGTGATAAAATGGTTTTTATTTCGGAATACGGGTCTTCAAGTCAAATCCAACAGAAACAAGAAAGCACTCTAAAATGTAGTTGAGTCGTTGAACAGGAATTTGGTCAAAGTCATTGAAGTCTCGAGCAAATCTGGATGACTGAAGCCAAGAATTAAATTTGTTTAGAGCCCAGTTGTTGACTCTAACTGTACTGTCCGGAACACGATTGGAAAGCAGTTCATCAATCTGAATGTCAAACCGATCTGTCATAGTGGAGCAATAGCTTGAACGTTAGCAGGAACAAGAGCTGGAAGGAGAGCAAGCAAAACAATACTATTTTTAGGGCACGGACAAGGGTAGCTGGCTAGTCGCCAACTTCTCACGCCACGCGTTGGAGAAATTCCAAGAATTAGCTGCTTTGGCAACGTTCCCAGGAATTTGCGTGTAAAAGAAGTGGACGGTTACGATGTTTCATATCACGTGGTGCGCTTTCGTGTCACGTGGTATAGACTCGGCGTATGCTATTGGTGGCACGTGGTACGCACGTGACGCGCCCACGTGATCGCGCGTCTAACTGTTCTACTATTATCGAGTTCTATACTAATCAGCAGTATCATTGATTATTGTAAGTCGGAGTATTGAATGATAAACATCAGTTACGACTAAAAAGCGGGCCGGGTTTATACAAATTTCCGGGGCGGGATGATATCACCTTGAGATGTTTATCTAACAGCGGGCCGGGCTGAGTGATAATATGATCCCGCGTCGAAATCCCGGAGATATTTATAACCTACCAAGACGCGCGCCGAGTTGGACTCGTCGACGGTCTTGAAACAAATATTTTACGAGTATCCCCGTTAAAAATAACCCCTCTCAGCTGTGGATAGGAAACAACAAGTGTGCGACTCTAAAGAACATGGGAGCAGCACAGAAGGAGACGGTTAGATGTGAGGACCCTGTTGTATCGGTGGGACGTAAAGTCAGGATTGAGGTCCTCAACTATCTGACGCTGTGTGAGGTCAAGGTGTTCACTAAAACTGAAATGGAAATCGGTAAGACTCAAAGTTTGAAGTTTATAAATCTATACCGCAGAAGCACTACATCTTGTTTAGGTAATAAGTACCAGATCTCACTGTTACATTTGTCTCTAGCACATTGGGTTTATGTCACATTCTAGATTTACCAATAAAGCAATAAAGCAAGGGAGAGTTACCATAGTAACACTACTAGTTACCATAGTAACACTACTTGTTACCATAGTAACACTACTAGTTACCCTAGTTACACTACTAGTTACCATAGTTACCCTAAATAACACTCTATCTCCAGCGGTGAGCTCGACTAAAACACCTCCAGAACACAAGGGAGAGACCCAGGGAGACTTTATCAACGTTGCTATTCATAAACCAGTGCACCAGTCCTCTACTGGTCACAACGGATTTGCGAGCAGGGCTGTTGACGGGTCAGCATAACAATTATCTCTTCAGATAATTATATAACATAATTATGTAACATAATTATGTAACATAATTATGTAACATAATTACGTGTAATGTAACGTGATGGAAATATTTTAAACGGGTCATATCCTGTCCAAACCCAGGACGCATAACATGAAGAATTCGTTGTAACTTTGTATGAAGAGCATTAATACAATAAATAACAATTATCTGTTTAGATAAAATACAATAGATTCTCAATTTTGTTTCTATTTCATTGGAAACAGATTGCTCGTTAAATTGAATCAAGGAATGAGGATCATTCACAAAATGTGACCTGGTGCTAAACATTTTTGAATTTTGCTGAATCCTAAAAATCACTCGGCTGATTTAAAATAGATGTTTTGAATTATTATAGACCGCTTTACAGTTCGACCTGTTGAATTAATCGTATTTTATCAGATACACCACCGGTATTTGGGGCCACAGATCATGTTCTTACACTAGAAACAACGGTAAGATTTGTTCTCTATCAGTTTTTATATTTGATTCTTAATAAATGCTGTTAACTTCAGCGTTAATTTGTAGCTAAAAAGATGAAAGTTTTGTTTTTATCCCATTGTAATAATAATACATCTCAAATTAGAAACATCAGATTAAGTGAAATATTCTTATTTATGTAAATAAGTACACTAAATATACTTATTTATCAGGAATGAACTATTGGGAGGTGGACCTAGGTCGAGTGTACAATATTGATCACATCATGGTTTACGGGAGATCAGATGCGGAACCAAACTGGTTAAACGGAGCTTCGGTGAGTTTAAAATAACTGTTAAAACTACCAAAGTAAACAATTTAACAAAAGTTAATACTTTAATTAGGTAAATATTGTAACTATAAATAAGATAGAAATACTTTAAATAAACTTCAATAAGATAAAAGACCTGTGTCCTGCATATGTGCAGACTGCAGATCCATTTCAATTACATATTTTGGTTAAATTATACGATTGCATGGTTTAAATCAAGCCAAACAAATTGTGGATCTCATTTTGTTAATTAACAACATTAAAATTGTTGATCATGATGATTAAGTTACTTGCAGTCTACAGAACTACAAAGTCGACACTAAATCTGAAACAGCTCTTTGGTTGTAACTCCATTCTTAACATATATCACGTGCTAGGTTAAAGTTGGGGAAGTCACGTGCCAACTGTTGGCTGGCATGGAGGAGGGTAATAAGAACAGGGTTGATTGCGGAGGAGACAAGGAGAAGCTTGTGGGTCAGAAAGTCCGGATTGAGAAGTGGGCCACATATGTTGTGCTCTGCGAGGTCAGATCTTCGGTTAGTGTTTTAGGGAGTTCTAAAACATCCCATTTAATTACCTTGATATGAAGAAGAACCTTCGTAATTAAAGGAAGTGAAGGTTCATCCCATCTCTCAGCTTCTTACTTAAAGATTTCACCCACTGCAGCAAACTGGACATTACTTGACATTGTACCTGTTTGTTGTACCAGTTTGTATTCATTTGTACCAGTTTGTTCGTATCCACAGTAACTAATCCAGATCATGAAAATCACACACAACTCGTTTAAAACGCTACCTCAACCAACATATATATTCAGTTAAAAAAGAAGGACTACCGGAACCCGATGTGGTTATCCCCACCGTAAACTACGCTCAGATCGGTGAGGTTATTGATGATTTCTTCAACGTAGCAAAGGGTAAGAATGCTACTGCTAGCTCTGAACCGTGGGGAGGAAAGGCTGCTCGGGCAGTGGACGGTGTTGTGGATCAGCACTGGGGCAGGTGAGTTCTTTTAGTGGGGCTCTCTCTCTCTCTCTCTCTCTCTCTCTCTCTCTCTCTCTCTCTCTCTCTCTCTCTCTCTCTCTCTCTCTCTCTCTCTCTCTCTCTCTCTCTCTCTCTCTCTCTCTCTCTCTCTCTCTCTCTCTCTCTCTCTCTCTCTCTCTCTCTCTCTCTCTCTCTCTCTCTCTCTCTCTCTCTCTCTCTCTCTCTCTCTCTCTCTCTCCCTCTCCCTCTCTCCCTCTCTCTCTCTCTCGCTCTCTCTCTCTCTCTCTCTCTCTCTCTCTCTCTCTCTCTCTCTCTCTCTCTCTCTCTCTCTCTCTCTCTCTCTCTCTCTCTCTCTCTCTCTCTCTCTCTCTCTCTCTCTCTCTCTCTCTCTCTCTCTCTCTCTCTCTCTCTCTCTCTCTCTCTCTCTCTCTCTCTCTCTCTCTCTCTCTCTCTCTCTCTCTCTCTCTCTCTCTCTCAGTTTCACATACTGAGTTAATGTTATTTGGTAACTGTGTGAAAATAGCAAAATATTGCGTGAAAATTATTATGTAAAAGTGCGAAAGGCGAATATCATTAGACATTATGATAGTTTTATCAATTTATCTATAGTTGTCATGGTAATATCGTATAGGCTTTTTCTTTGGAGGGTGGTTTAAACTGCTCTCAAGTGCGCAAACAAGCAGTCTTATGACCACTCCACATCCACTCACTACTCACAAGCCTAGACGTCATTCTTTTGTAGTTCTCAATTCCGATGTGTAACAATAGTCTTACAATTGTTCTATTAAACCCTGCATAGTTATGTTGAACAATTGCCTTTTTACGACACATTGTAAACGCACTCACATCAGAGGGAGCTGCACACACACGAACAGACTCGGTAACGAGTGGTGGGAAGTGGACCTTGGTCGGGTTTATCAGATAGATCATGTCCGGGTGTGGGGCAGAACAGATGCTCATACTGAAAGACTGGACGGTGCCAGGGTAGGTTTCTAGAGTAGGTTTCTAGGGTCTCTCAGATTTGTCCCAAACCTAATATCTTAGGTTTATTAGGTTTGGGAGTTGATATACATATATATGTAATATATCAACTCCCATTTTATTATATCATTTGGTCTGATCAAGTGACTGATTTTGGGAATGATTCGTAATAAAAATCAAAGCTATTGAGTCCAAATTCACAAAATAGAACGGCCAATATTTTATTTTTATTTTTTATCCACGTCTTGCCCATCAGCTGTGGATTGGTGATCACAGATGTGGCAAACTGAAGACTATGGCCAATAAAGCTGAGGCTGACATCATTAAATGTGAGCCAGCAGAGTCAGTCGGAAGAAAAGTGAGGATCGAACATTTTAGTCAGTATATCACGCTCTGCGAAGTCCAAGTTATGGGTAAGGGATCTTCTAAAACTTCATAGTTGTTTAGTCTTGGCCGTATCAAGATTTTATTGAATTTGAAACCGGTTTATCCACGAAATCTTACTCCTTGTAATGATATCAAATGTCCGGTTGGTCGGTTAATAACTCTTCAAAAACCAACTATTCTGCAGTGAAACAGTCGCAGATCGAGCTGCAGTTAATAACTCTTCAAAAACCAACTATTCTGCAGTGAAACAGTCGCAGATCGAACTGCAGCCGAACACAGTCTCCAGTGACGGCGAAAGGGAAGGCGAGTACACGAATGTGGCCCTCAGGAAAGAGGCCTGGCAGTCCAGTACAGCACACAACGGTTGGGCCAGCAGAGCGGTCGATGGTTGGGTCAAAACTCACTGGAACCAGTAAGTGTATTTTACTGGTTTGTACACATCATAATTTAAAAAGTGTCTGATGACGGTGACTGCTTTATTTTCTCAGCATTTGATTCGATGATAACGGTGAACTGGTGGTCTTGAAAGAATTATCCCAAAGTTTAGGATCTAAAATATTTGTAAAACAAACTATATTAAACTGTATTATGATAATATTAATCTAAGCTAAGTATTATTATTATTACTCTAATCTAAGTATTATTATAATATTACTCTAATCTAAGTTTTATTATAACATTACTCTAAACTAAGTATTATTATAATATTACTCTAATCTAAGTATTATTATAATATTACTCTAAACTAAGTATTATTATAATATTACTCTAAACTAAGTATTATTATAACATTACTCTAAACTAAGTATTATTATAATATTTATACTCTAAACTAAGCCTTATTATAATATTTATACTCTAAACTAAATATTATTATAATATTGCTCTAAACTAAGTATTATTATAATATTACTCTAAACTAAGTATTATTATAACATTACTCTAAACTAAGTATTATTATGATATTACTCTAAACTAAGTATTATTATAATATTACTCTAAACTAAGTATTATTATAACTTACTCTAAACTAAGTATTATTATAAATTACTCTAAACTAAAGTATTAATGATCATTTCTCTAAACTAAGTATTATTATAATATTGCTACTAAGCAAAGTATTATTATAAGTATTATTATCTAACTTTTAAAACAATCTCGAATAGTTAAAGGAAACATTAAGAGACTGATAAGTGCCCAAAAAAACATAACAGTTCTCTGAAAAATAAAGGTTAATTATGAAGTAATAATTTTCTCACAAAACTCTGTTAGAGGCAGTAGCCCTAAGATCATAAAGATCATTAATATCATATAACATTACTCTAAACTAAGTATTATTATAACATTACTCTAAACTAAGTATTATTATAACATTACTCTAAACTAAGTATTATTATGATATTGCTCTAAACTAAGTATTATTATAACATTACTCTAAACTAAGTATTATTATAACATTACTCTAAACTAAGTATTATTATAACATTACTCTAAACTAAGTATTATTATAACATTACTCTAAACTAAGTATTATTATAACATTACTCTAAACTAAGTATTATTATGATATTGCTCTAAACTAAGTATTATTATGATATTACTCTAAACTAAGTATTATTATAACATTACTCTAAACTAAGTATTATTATAACATTACTCTAAACTAAGTATTATTATAACATTACTCTAAACTAAGTATTATTATAACATTACTCTAAACTAAGTATTATTATAACATTACTCTAAACTAAGTATTATTATAATATTACTCTAAACTAAGTATTATTATAACATTACTCTAAACTAAGTATTATTATAATATTACTCTAAACTAAGTATTATTATAACATTACTCTAAACTAAGTATTATTATGATATTACTCTAAACTAAGTATTATTATAACATTACTCTAAACTAAGTATTATTATAACATTACTCTAAACTAAGTATTATTATGATATTACTCTAAACTAAGTATTATTATGATATTACTCTAAACTAAGTATTATTATGATATTACTCTAAACTAAGTATTATTATAACATTACTCTAAACTAAGTATTATTATAATATTACTCTAAACTAAGTATTATTATAATATTACTCTAAACTAAGTATTATTATGATATTACTCTAAACTAAGTATTATTATAACATTACTCTAAACTAAGTATTATTATAACATTACTCTAAACTAAGTATTATTATAATATTACTCTAAACTAAGTATTATTATGATATTACTCTAAACTAAGTATTATTATAACATTACTCTAAACTAAGTATTATTATGATATTACTCTAAACTAAGTATTATTATAATATTACTCTAAACTAAGTATTATTATAACATTACTCTAAACTAAGTATTATTATAACATTACTCTAAACTAAGTATTATTATAACATTACTCTAAACTAAGTATTATTATAATATTACTTTAAACTAAGTAATATTATAATATTACTCTAAACTAAGTATTATTATAATATTACTCTACGTATATTAAACTAAGTTTTATTATGATATTACTCTAAACTAAGTATTATTATAACATTACTCTAAACTAAGTATTATTATAATATCACTCTAAACTAAGTATTATTATGATATTACTCTAAACTAAGTATTATTGTAATATTACTCTAAACTAAGTATTATTATAACATTACTCTAAACTAAGTAATATTATAATATTATTCTAATCTAAGTATTATTATAATATTACTCTACGTATATTAAACTAAGTTTTATTATGATATTACTCTAAACTAAGTATTATTATAACATTACTCTAAACTAAGTATTATTGTAATAATATTACTCTAAACTAAGTATTATTATAATATTACTCTAAACTAAGTAATATTATAATATTACTCTAAACTAAGTATTATTATAATATTACTCTACGTATATTAAACTAAGTTTTATTATGATATTACTCTAAACTAAGTATTATTATAACATTACTCTAAACTAAGTATTATTATAACATTACTCTAAACTAAGTATTATTATGATATTACTCTAAACTAAGTATTATTATAATATTACTCTAAACTAAGTATTATTATAACATTACTCTAAACTAAGTATTATTATAATATTACTCTAAACTAAGTATTATTATGATATTACTCTAAACTAAGTATTATTGTAATATTACTCTAAACTAAGTATTATTATAACATTACTCTAAACTAAGTATTATTATAATATCACTCTAAACTAAGTATTATTATGATATTACTCTAAACTAAGTATTATTGTAATATTACTCTAAACTAAGTATTATTATAATATTACTCTAAACTAAATATTATTATAATATTACTCTAAACTAAGTATTATTATGATATTACTCTAAACTAAGTATTATTGTAATAATATTGCTCCAGGGGATCTTGTACACACACTAATCAACACGGTGTACACACTTGGTCTGTCAACCTTGGTAAAGCCTACAAAGTGGATCATGTTAAGTTCTGGGGACGAACTGACGCTGCACAGGACCGGATAAAATGGGTCAACGTAGGTTCACTTTTATTATACATTATACATTATACATTATACATTATACATTATACATTATACATTATACATTATACATTATACATTATACATTATACATTATACATTATACATTATACATTATACATTATACATTATGCATTATACATTATACATTATACATTATACATTATACATTATACATTTATTATACTGTGCTTGCTTAAATTTATATCTCTTTGAAATATTCTTCATTCGCTGTTGATCCCTCAAGTTAAAATCTTTTGATTTGTCATATTTTGAATTTATTCCTTCCCAAAAATGTGTAAGAATGATAAATAAACGGTTCAGGTATTCGTGGGACGCACAAAGATCGGTTACCTTGATGAGGAAGGGTACGGAGCTGGAATGCCGTATGTACTACAAGCTACCAACTCCGAGCGTGAGGTATACGGTAAAATCGTCAGATTTGAGAGACTTGCTAACTACCTTACCCTCTGTGAGGTCCAAGTCATGGGTTAGTAACATATTCATTATTCAAAAAAAACATATTCGTTATTCAAAAAATTTAAATTTTAAAAATTTATAAAAAAACATATTCATTACTCGCAGCTTTAACCATTTCTTTCGTTAACATTAAAAATAAACGAGCATTATTTAAGCTCTCCTTTCTATTGATCACCAAATTATGAAAGTTAAATCGATTTCTATTTCAGTAAAGAACGAAGATTTGTTGGAGGAGGAAATGCCCACGACATTCCCTGAGTACGAGAACGTGGCTCGGAACAAACCAACCAACCAGTCATCCACCGCTCACGGTGGCGAGTCTAAGAGGGCTGTAGATGGTTACATGGCCGAGGGGGCTGTTAGCTGGAACGGGTAAGAGCGCGTCTGAAATTGCTCTGAAACAGTTTTGGGTGTTTTTCAATGATTGAATCGGAAACTCGACGTTAGGAAGTGTAAACTTTTTTGTCAATTTCAGCTGTAGTTTTTTTAGCTGACAATTGAGTCACCTTGATCTATTTTCATATATATTTTCCCCAAATTAACGATCACATATATTTCAGACAATCTTGTACTCACACCAACAGAGCTGCCTTGGAGTACTGGGAAGTGGATCTAGAGCACGAGTACCACATTGACCACATTAAGATCCTGGGAAGAAGTGACTGTTGTCGTGAGAGGATGGGAGGTGCCGTGGTGAGTTTTAGAAGTTGTATTTCAGTATTTGTTCATGATTGGTTTGATGATTGCAATGGTCATATAAAACACTGCTAAGCATAATATAAGTTTTATTTTTTTAGTGTTGTTATTCAGCTTCATTGAAAACTTTAAAACCATGATCAGATTAAAATGGACGGAAAAACAGTTGCTGGTCTGAGTTACTACACAAATCAGTTGGAATGGACCGTCCCAATGAACTATGCTAAGGGGCGCAGGCTAACTGTCACTCAAACAAGCCAAATTCTTACTATTTGCGAGTTTGCTGTCTATGGTAGGAGTTCTTTTTTCAATGTATCTTCCATTCATCGAATTTTAAATTTTTAAACAGTCCGACCTTGTTGAGTTGCTGCGTGTTAACTTGAAAGAAAAACAAATCATTTGCATTTAACGTGGAACTATGCATTCTTTTTCAGTTGATCACAATTACGATCCAACCACGGACACTGAAAACCAGTTGGATCTAACAGAAGAAAACCTGGCTCTGAAGAAAGTTGCCACCTCCTCCAGCGTTATGCTAGGAGGTGAGGCTGGTAACGGGGTAGACGGAGACAGCGAGGGCAACTACTACAAGTAAGCTTACTTAGATTTACTGGGCGGCGCTCAGCCTGTCATTCCGCCGAATCTTTATTTAATAGTTTAATATTTAATAGTTTAATATTTAATAGTTTAATATTTAATAGTTTAATATTCAATAGCCTGGGGTCCCGGCCAGGTAAACTTAGATCTGCTTGATGTATCATAAATAGTGATATTATAAAAAGTATACTGTTTGAATGGTGACTGGCACTATCCAGTATGTAAGCTTACCGATGTTCCTGCGGCTGCAGGTTCCTTGAATCTTTTGTCAGCAGCAATGGAAACTACTAATCACAATGTCCTCTTTTCCTCTTCAGAGGGTCGTGTGTATCAACGGGAGTTCAGCAAGGTGAAAGCTGGTGGATGGTGGATCTAGTGGACTCTCACAGTGTGGGACACGTGATAGTTTACCCCAGACTCGACACTAATCTTGCTGCTAATCTTGACGGCGCAGTGGTATGTTTTTATAGTTTACCCCAGACTCGACACTAATCTTGCTGCTAATCTTGACGGCGCAGTGGTATGTTTTTATAGTTTACCCCAGACTCGACACTAATCTTGCTGCTAATCTTGACGGCGCAGTGGTATGTTTTTATAGTTTACCCCAGACTTGACACTAATCTTGCTGCTAATCTTGACGGCGCAGTGGTATGTTTTATAGTTTACCCCAGAGTCCCAGACTTGACACTAACCTTGCTGCTAATCTTGACGGAGCAGTGGTATGTTTTTATAGTTTACCCCAGACTCGACACTAATCTTGCTGCTAATCTTGACGGCGCAGTGGTATGTTTTTATAGTTTACCCCAGACTTGACACTAATCTTGCTGCTAATCTTGACGGCGCAGTGGTATGTTTTATAGTTTACCCCAGAGTCCCAGACTTGACACTAACCTTGCTGCTAATCTTGACGGAGCAGTGGTATGTTTTTATAGTTTACCCCAGACTCGACACTAATCTTGCTGCTAATCTTGACGGCGCAGTGGTATGTTTTTATAGTTTACCCCAGACTCGACACTAATCTTGCTGCTAATCTTGACGGCGCAGTGGTATGTTTTTATAGTTTACCCCAGACTCGACACTAATCTTGCTGCTAATCTTGACGGCGCAGTGGTATGTTTTTATAGTTTACCCCAGACTCGACACTAATCTTGCTGCTAATCTTGACGGCGCAGTGGTATGTTTTTATAGTTTACCCCAGACTAAACACTAATCTTGCTGCTAATCTTGACTGCGCAGTGGTATGTTTTTATAGTTTACCCCAGACTCGACACTAATCTTGCTGCTAATCTTGACGGCGCAGTGGTATGTTTTTATAGTTTACCCCAGACTCGACACTAATCTTGCTGCTAATCTTGACGGCGCAGTGGTATGTTTTTATAGTTTACCCCAGACTCGACACTAATCTTGCTGCTAATCTTGACGGCGCAGTGGTATGTTTTTATAGTTTACCCCAGACTCGACACTAATCTTGCTGCTAATCACCTGACCGGAATTATTATGAGCCATTGACCCGTAGGACCTTTAACTTCGCCTCTCATTGCAAATTCTCGTAGTAACAATTTGATAGTTTAAATGTTTATAATCATTTTAGTCCTTCTGTTGGTTGTTCGATAATGATATTGATAGCCGCTTACTCGTATTTTGTATAACTTATTGTAGAAAGAGGACTTTGTTCCTCATTTAAAATAAAACCAGCGAACTAATTACCAAATGCATCGCAAATATTATATCTTGGCGAAGTTAAAGTTCAGCAGAATACTTAAATAGAATGTCACCCCCGGCCCCCCCCCCCCCCCCCCCCCGGCCCCCCGGCCCCCACTAATACAAAATTACTCAGGTTTCAGTTGGGGAGCATGTTTGCGGTTCCATCACGTTCGTGGAGAACAGGCAGTGGTACAGATTAGACTGTAAGGGACAAGCTGGTTCCAATGTGAGCGTGAAGAAAGAAACTGGGCACCTACAGTTCTGCGAGGTTATCGTTCAAGCAGCCGAAGATTAATAGAGTGTAAGGAAAACGTGTTTTGTCGGACTTTTGAGTGTTGAAGTCATGACATGAAGTTGACCTCAGAAATGTTTGTTTATCATTTAATGATAATGTTCAAATTTGTAAATTATGGATAATTCTTCTGCCTGATCCGTATAAACTATGATAATAATGTTAGTTGAATTTTCAGTTTAAAGTTTATCAGTAAAATTCTTAATATCATATCGTAGATTTTGAATATGATCAAACGTAAATTTGTCTGACTTAGTAATACACAATATATCACAGTGCTGGCAAGCACGACCGTTCACCATTGCTCTTATATACTGTATACTATTAAACTACCTGTGCTGTTGTACCCCTTAACTGTTTTTCCAGGCATTTACACTCATCAGAAGTTGTTCAGCAGGGTTATTTTTAGTTCAAAACATTTTTATTCAATATAAAATATGACAGAAATAATAAATGGTTAATGGTTATGTGGAGATTTTTAAGAAATTTGCATGAAGGGTCGCAGCACTGTTTTCGGTATCATTTTGCATTTGAGAACGGTCATTCAAATTAATATCATTTGCTTTTGTTTGGTAAAGAGAGACACTGGCAGCAGTCCACTCTACCCAATCATGGGTTTTGGTCAAATATCATCTCTTTTTGATTATAATGTCATTGTCAGGGTACTTTACTAAGTCGAAATGTAAATTCACAACTTCGAAATATTACCTTTGAAAACATTTCCTTGTGTTTAGGTAAGCATATCTGTCGATCACTGACTGAATATGCCACTTTATACCCATTCAAATTAGCATTAAATTCATATATAATGCCATTTAACTGTCGTGGCAAAGCAGAATTTGTTCGAAATTATGAAAAATTCGCACCTTTCGCACGTGCAAACTTTGAGTGGACGTTGCATGCGTATCCAATATTGAATCACCGTAAATTTTTGTATATATTCGTAATTTATATATAGTTTGACAAGCTTGCAAAGTTTCAACAGATTTTAAGAATAGGTTTAATCACAACGGCAATCCGAAGTTGACAGAAAATAGTAAAAATAGCAATTTTCAGTGATTTGAGCAATTTTATGTCAATTTGGGCGTGTCCCCACTTACTGGCCACTGGGCCGCGCTCAGCCTGTAATTCCGCCGAATCTCTATTCTATGTTTATGAACATAATAGCCTGGGGTCCTCAGGTAAGAGGTCCCCAGGTAAGTCCCCACGTGTAAAACTTTTTGAATTTCAATTTAGTACGTGATTTTTCGTTAATCGCGTGATCAGTTAATTGCGTGATCATCACTGCCCGTTCTCAATAATCAAGCATGAATTGGTATGCAAGAGAGAAATTTATCGTGCTTATCGTAATTTTATGGGTGTGCACTTTACCCCCCTCTTAGTGTTCACTGTGCAGTGCAGGTGACCAAAATCCTAGCAGACTTCAATTAACAGTTTAAGATAAAACCTGGCCCATTGTAAAGCTCCACTTGGATCAAAAATCATATTATCAATGTTAATTACCCAGATGGACAAACTTTGAATTTGTTATCAGTGTTAATTTACCTGGGGACCCCAGGCTATTACCTTCATAAAAATAATTGAGATTTGGCGGAATTTCAGGCTGAGCGCCGCCCAGTAAGTGTTAATTTGATCACCCATCTTTAGACAATCTTCATGAGACATCTTTCTCGGAAATTATGTTCACCGATTCTGTTCTTGGTATATTCGTCATTTCTAGAATATAATTTTCACTGAGTCCGTTCATTATTACTATTAGTCAAAAATTTGCTATCGAAGAGGACCTGCATCTTAATTTAATTAACATTTAATCTAACGAGCTGCTTGGCATGCTTTGGTTATTTTATAATACAAGTGACTCACTTGAAAGGTACCAACCAGTAAAGTTATCGACTTTATTTCAATTATTTCTTTATTTTAAATCCTTGTTTTTCAAAGCAAAAAGTCTTCACATCATATTAACTTTAAACTTTTAAGTGATGAACATGTCGATATTTAAGATATTGATGCTTCTGCAAGTTCTTCTTTCATCAGCCAGTAAGTAACTCATTATTTAATCAATGTGATAGCAGTTAAAACAATTAATGCATTAATAATAATACCTAATGCTTTTTTTAAAAGCACCAACTGCAATTGCAAATATCTCAATGAAAAAGTATAGCAAAAAACACTTTACGGTCGATTTTTGGAATACTAAACGATTATCTAAGTCTAACTACCTTAGGGCCAATAAATTTGGTTCACAATTAATTTGGTTGCCATAATTTTGGTTACCACAATTTTAGTCATAAATTCGCACATTTTTAGTCTACAACAATTTTAGTCACATTTTTTAACTTTTCCATTCTATTTATTTGATTTTTCCACTATTTACCTAGTTTTTTTCCCGATTTCTCATATAACGTCATACTTTATAGTTTAATGTTAGGCATGTTGATTTAATGATTTTTTGCAATAAAAAATAAAACAAATAATTTGTAAAATAAAATGTTATCTAGGGGGGTAAGTCGTGACATGTCCGCCAATGTCCGCCTATGTCCTGTCCTTTTTGAATTCTATGAGACAACGGACGTGTTTTTTAAATTTAGCTGTGGGACATTAGCGGACATTGACGGGTTCGGATGAACATGGGCTGATATTACCGGACAAACATTATGAGAATTTTTCGCACATAATTTGGACAATTGAAAGGAGCTTATATTCATATGAAGCCTATATTCATAACCTATCGAGGCATCCCCTTTGCAATCCAATCTCGGAAAGCAGGCCTCCCCTTTTTCAAACCGAACTCGGAATTGGATTTTCAGCTCATCATGATCAGTGTAGCATGAAACTTGAACAAAAGTAGTTCCCAGAAAAACTTTGACTTACAAAAATTTTCGGTCCGAGTGATTCTCGATACGTACCTCTGAAGGCAAAGCTGATCTCGCTTCCGACGGGTCAATCTTATTAATATTTTTATTTAAACTACCCTTATATTACAGCAGGTTGTGCGGACAACTCCGAACATGCTGAAAACTGCGCAGGTTGGCTGTCTACTGGATATTGTGATCAAGGTACAAAAGAAATAGGCGAAATGGGGCATAATTTTCATAATTTATCATTATTGAATAAAAGGGCAATGGGGTTGGCAATGATTTTCTTTTCTCGCAATTTATATCGAAATTTTTGCTGCAATCTGAAAACCCAAATGATCCACAGGTAGTGAATACTATGAGTTTATGACCGCTAATTGTCCGAGGACGTGCGGCGTTTGTGAAGTGGAGGAAGGTAAGCAATTACAGATTAAGAATTTGGTTCAAAATTCCTTGCACTTACAATTAATAGACATGTCCGCCTATGTCCTGTCCTTTTTGGATTCTATGAGACAACGGACGTATTTTTTTGTGACATTAGCGGACTCGGACGGACATGGGCGGACATTATAATAGCGGACAAACATTATGAGAATTTTTCGCACATAATTTGGACAATTGGAAGGAGCTTATATTCATATGAAGCCTATATTCATAACCTATCGAGGCATCCCCTCTGCAATCCAATCTCGGAAAGCAGGCCTCCCCTTTTTCAAACCGAACTCGGAATTGGATTTTCAGCTCATCATGATCAGTGTAGCATGAAATTTGAACAAAAGTACCTACCTATGTCACCTATGTTGAGATTCGTTAAGCTTTAACAGGGCCATCACATTGTGTGACCACCCCACAGAGAGGAGATCTCTCTGTCATTCCTCCAGCAAAGCAGCGAGTTTGAGTTCTGAGGAGTGTAGCCCCTGATGGGCGGTGTATCCGGAAGAGATAGCATGAACTGGGTGAGCTGCGATTTGAAATGCTCTCGGTCGCCGATGGAATTCAAATGGTAAGGCATTGCATTCCACAATTTTGGGCCTATGACTGCAAATGAATTATCATACAGTGACTGATTTGCTGCTGAGCTGTGTCTGCATGCAGATGGAATGACTGCAAGGTTTCCAAAACGTGGCCTGGAGACAAACTGCACGTTAATGTCGTTGCTGGTATGGTGATGGAAAATCTTCCACATATGAAGTAAAATGAACCGCTCCCTGCGACGCTGTAGAGACATCAGAGATAGCCGTTGAAGACGGTCCCAATAATGGAGATCACGCATTCCAGTAATCCTTGCGGTGAAAGCTTTCTGTACGCTTTCAAGCTCCTGGATGTCACATATCTTGGAGGGGTGCCATAGCGGGCAACAGTATTCCAGTAAACTACGAACCATCGACTTGTAAAGCGTAAGCATTATGACTGGAGATCTTGTCTGAAAGACACTGAAAACCCAGGCAGCTTTTTGACGAGCCTTGTTTGCTGCGGTCTTGATGTGGGGTTGCCAAGATAGATCGTTGGAGACGAGAACCCCGAGGTCTCTTAGTTGACCTACAGGTGCGAGTGACTTGTCTTTGGATACTGAGTACTGGTATAGTTCACTAACAAAAGGAAGTTCGACGAGAGCACTACGTCGATTGTGTCTGTGACACATGTACTCAAACTTGTCTTTATGTAGTGCCATATTGTTTCGTTCAGACCATTTTATGACACTGTTCAAGTCGTTTTGTAACACAGATACGTCTTGTTCACAGGTTACCGATATTGAAACACGAGTGTCGTCTGCAAAGCATCTGATGATGGATTCAGTTATGCAATGCTCAATATCATTGATGAAAATAAGGAACAAGATCGGCCCGAGGACTGTTCCCTGGGGGACACCACTGATGATCAGAGCGAGAAATGACAAGTGGCCGTCGACCACTACAGCTTGCTTCCGGTTTGACAGAAAAGATTCAATCCATTTGATGATTTTTGGATTTAAGCCATAGAGGTGAAGTTTCCTGATCAACAATTTGTGATCAACTTTATCGAACGCCTTAGCGTAATCAAGATATATAGAATCAAAGTCAGCTTTGTTGGTTAATGACTCAAAAATGTCGTCGAAATGGTGGAGAAGCTGTGTAAGGCAGCTGCGGCCTGATCTAAAGCCATGCTGTTTGCTACAGAGCAAGTTGTTCATTTCTAGATGTAAGACTAGCTTTTTCCTTATGATTCTCTCAAACACCTTGATTATATGGGAGGTGAGTGAAATGGGCCTGTAGTTGGAAGGAAACGCCTTGCTATCTTTCTTGTGGAGCGGAGAAACGTGGGAGTACTTATAAAATGAAGGTACTTCTCCAGATGCAAGGGATTTTGACCAGATCAGATGGATAGGAATCGCCATAGCATCT